AAAAAAAAAAAAAAAAAAAAAAAAAAATTTCAAGTTTTTGCCTGAGAATCCTGTGTCTCAAGATAGAAAAGGATTTGGAACGTGTGACTCCTTGGGGAAGATTACAGTTCATGGAAAATCATAGCAATAACAAAAAGCATTTATTAAGTCATATATGCCAGACAAATTACAACAGTGCATAAAATGCTCTTCTGTATGGAGGATAGTGGAGGATGCTGTCTTACTTTTTAAGAAAGTGGAAAATGAGCAAACAATATGATGCCCATTTCTTCACCCTAATGTAGTGGGGTTTTTTTTTTTAAGTAAATATCATCGTTCCACAGTTCTGAACTTTTAACTTGAAATGACTAAAAACATAAACTCCAAGGACCCGAAACTTCCTTCCAAGTTAGGGAAGATAACTGAGTTTCTTGAACAGAAGTTAATACTTTGTGGGAAATCAACTCAATGGATGGCACCCATGAAAAATTATAGTTATACAGGCTGGGGATGGCGTGAGAGGAAGCACATGATGCTAAAAGAAAAAAAGTGGAATATAAAAACGTGTGAGGGGGGCTTCCCTGGTGGCGCAGTGGTTGAGAGTCCGCCTGCCGATGCAGGGGATGCGGGTTCGTGCCCCGGTCCGGGAAGATCCCACACGCCACGGAGCGGCTGGGCCAGTGAGCCATGGCCGCTGAGCCTGCGCGTCCGGAGCCTGTGCTCCGCAACTGGAGAGGCCACAACAGTGAGAGGCCCGCATACCGCAAACAAAACAAAACAAAACAAAAACGTGTGAGGTTAAATAACAACCCAGTAAACTACATAGGTTATGGACAAAGACTGGAATGGAACAATAAATCCACTGAGTTTTAGAGCAGTGAAATCCTGGACGTTTTTTCTTTTCTTTCACTGTTACTCCAGTTTTTAAATGAAATAAGTGTGCAGAAGCAGCTCATCTCAAGAAGCCCCTGGGAGGAGCTAGAAGGAGGTTGAAAGTTCCAATGGAAGCAAAGTCACCTGTATTTCTGAGCCCCGCACAGTCCCAGGAGCAGTAGCAGAAGCAGCACCACCGCGCAGGCAGCCACCGCGGTGATGCTCCGCTGCCGCCCGTGGCCGGCATGCCGCAGTTCCCACCACTTCAAGTCTCGGTGCTGACATCGCTCCCCGACGTAGCCAACGACACAGCTGTGACAACATACAAACAGAGGTCAGCAGTGAGCCAAGGCCGAAAACGCTTATATTTTTGCACTCAATATCCAGCCGTCTCTCAACCTCTGCATTTCAGCTTCAGCTCTTTGGACATATGGAAAATCCATCAGGGGTCAGTTGAAAGCACTCTAATTTACAAGTTAATGCAACACAGACTTGCCCCATTGGTCTGTTGGCCCTGGGATTAATGGGGGATTATTTGCATACCGCCTCTATAAGGCACTGCAGAACACTGATTAAAGATCAATTTCTGTTAGGCTAAAATCCTGTGAAGCTTCCTCTAAGACCAACATAAAGCAACCCTACCCTAAGAGCGAAGGGAGTTTTCGAACAAATGTTCAGCCAGACTGCAATGAGTATAGGTCAAAGGAAGGAAGAGTTCAAAGCACAGTCTTTCACTTGAGACCAGGTTGTAAAAGAATGTTGAGTAGTCTCTGAACTGGAAGCATAGACTAGTCTGCAGAGGAAACCATTTTTCCTTCTCTTTTAAAGTCACAGACTCAAAAGGACTCGGTGGTGACACACAAGCATTTGCCTAAGTGGAGGAAAAGAGGCGTTCACCAACATCCTGCTGTTTCATTAGTGAAATTGTTACTGGAATTACCAGCGGGCAACACAGGCTGTGAACCTTTAGATGAAAGTAAATGAAACAATGCTGCCATCTACTGGAAATACATGCTTCCAGAAACTCTCCGGATCTTGGGTAGAATTAGATTCTATTATTCTGTGCAAGAGCATAAACTTTAAAAATATTGTTAGAAATTCTGTGTTGCTCACTTGTTAGGAATTTCTTCACCTTGGCTCTGGATCCACTCTCTGCATGTATATCCATGTCCCCACTTTGTTCCAAAAGGAGGTAAAGGAATGAATACACAGAGGACTGATACCAGTCCCCATGGCGGGAAGAGGCAGCAAGGGACAAGCATTAGACGAAGCATGCATCATGGCTGAAGGCCCAGAAGGTCTCAAGTCTAGTCCTAGCTCTACCTGAGTTGGTTACAGGAGCTTTGGCGAGTCACTTTCAAAGACAGGAGGGAAAGTAACTAGTGTTTGTTATGTACCTTATGTTTCCGATATTGTACTAGGCACTTTTATTCATTTTATTTTTGATGGCATATTCCCATTTTATAGATGAGGAAAGTGAGATTCAAAGGAGTTAAGTAATTTTCCACACAGCTAGTGAATGGTAGGTTTGATTCAAATGGTTCTCTGATTTCAAAGTCTGTGTTCTTTCTACTACATTGGGCCACTTCCAAAAAGAGTTTTAAGTTCCATGCACCTCTGAAAAACTATTCTTCTAGAAGTGATCCTACCAGAGAATGCAGGACCTGAGTGTAGGAAGCATAAAGGACCATCAGGTTATTCCCGGCTTTCCTGTATGCTGTTTTAATTCTAGCTGTCCTTGGTTATAGACATTTACTATCAACGCCTAGCAGCCACTTGTTGTTGTTGTTGTTGTTGTTTTGCGGTACGCGGGCCTCTCACTGTTGTGGCCTCTCCCGTTGCGGACGGAGCACAGGCTCGGGACGCGCAGGCTCAGCGGCCATGGCTCACGGGCCCAGCCGCTCCGCGGCATGTGGGATCTTCCCGGACCGGGACACGAACCCGCGTCCCCTGTATCGGCAGGCGGACTCTCAACTACTGCGCCACCAGGGAAGCCCCTAGCAACCACTTTTAAACTGTTGGATATTAACAGGCCACACCTCCAATCCTCTCACAGATCTTAGGGTCTCAAGGAATATGCCACGCACGTGACAAGAGAACTGGGAGCCAAGGAGGATGCAATATCAAAGCCTCTCAGCCTTATAAGGTCCAGAGCAATCAGCCAGCATCTCACAAGGGCAGGCGACGCTCCACTAGTTCCTCAGGTTTTGGGTTTTTTTTTTTTACATCTTTATTGGAGTATAATTGCTTTACAATGTTGTGTTAGTTTCTGCTTTATAACAAAGTGAATCAGTTATACATACACATATGTTCCCATATCTCTTCCCTCTTGTGTCTGCCTCCCTCCCACCCTCCCCTATCTCAACCCCCTAGGTGGTCACAAAGCACTGAGCTGATCTCCCTGTGCTATGTGGCTGCTTCCCACTAGCTATCTATTTTGCATTTGGTAGTGTATATATGTCCATGCCACTCTCTCATTTCGTCCCAGCTTACCCTTCCCCATCCCCTTGTCCTCAAGTCCATTCTCTACATCTGCGCCTTTATTCCTGTCCTGCCCCTAGGTTCTTCAGAACCTTATTTTTTTAAGATGCCACATATATACGTCAGCACACGGTATTTGTTTTTCTCTTTCTGACTTACTTCACTCTGTTACGACAGACTTGAGGTCCATCCACTTCACTACAAATAACTCAATTTCGTTTCTTTGTATGGCTAATATTCCATTGTATATATGTGCCACATCTTCTTTATGGACACTTAGGTTGCTTCCATGTCCTGGCTGCTGTAAATTGTGCTGCAATAAACATTGTGGCACATGACTTCTTTGAATTATGGTTTTCTCAGGGTATATGCCCAGTAGTGGGATTGCTGGGTCGTATGGTAGTTCTATTTTTAGTTTTTTAAGGAACCTCCATACTGTTCTCCATAGTGGCTGTATCAATTTACATTCCCACCAACAGTGCAAGAGGGTTCCCTTTTCTCCACACCCTCTCCAGCATTTATTGTTTGTAGATTTTTTGATGCTGGCCATTCTGACCGGTGTGAGGTGATACCTCATTGTAGTTTTGATTTGCATTTCTCTAATGATTAGTGATGTTGAGCATCCTCTCATGTGTTTGTTGGCAATCTGTGTATCTTCTTTGGAGAAATGTCTATTTAGGTCTTCTGCCCATTCACAACCTTTTTTCATGAAACATTTCACAGCACCGTTGTTGGGAGAACTTGGGCTGAAGAAGACCTGGCCCACAGGGTGGGGGTTGGTTCGAAGCCAAACCAGAATGAATGAGGATCTCTTCCGTGCTCAGGAGGTTTGGGGTCCTCTGAGAATCCCCAGAGCAGGGTATCTGTGAGGAGGACCTTGGGTGTGGAGATTTCCAGTTCCCACATCCTCTGCATCCCCGGGGCAGCCAGCAGGTCCTGCATCTGAGGGGAGCTTTCATTGCCTCCAAACAAGGAAGGAAGTGCATTCCTCTTTATTAACGTGCTCACAACGTTAAGAGCACTCTGTGTGGAATGATGCCTGTGAAGTGTTTCTAATAAAAGCCGGACTGGGAAGCACTCCTTAGAGGTGTGTTATTATGGAATTAAAAAACTACAAGGTGAGGTCATTGGGGCGGGGAAGGAGGGAAGGGTTGGACATCTGATTAAACCACACTTTTATTAAATATAGAATTCAAAAAAAAAGTTATGTTCCAGATTAATGGGAACTCTGGTGATATTTTAAATGTTGCTTTTGATTAAAGATCCTTAAATTTAAGTGTTAGATCCCACTTAATTGTCATTTTGGAGCAACTCGTGTTTGAAACATTATTAGGGGAATATGATATATTCACCAGGATTTAATGACAGAAAGGAAAGCAGTGTGCTAAAGAGTCCACAAATCATTTAATGAATTGCTGCTATCAGGGCCAAATGAAATCAACGTGCTGACCGCAATAGGCAACCCTGCAGTACCCTTCTTATTATAATGTCCTCTTTTTTTTTTTAACATCTTTATTGGAGTATAATTGCTTTACAGTGGTGTGCTAGTTTCTGCTGTATAACAAAGTGAATCAGCTATACATATACATATATCCCCATATCCCCTCCCTCTTGCATCTCCCTCCCACCCTCCCTATCCCACCCCGCTAGGTGGTCACAAAGCACCGAGCTGATCTCCCTGTGCTATGCGGCTGCTTCCCACTAGCCATCTATTTTACGTTTGGTAGTGTATATATGTCCATGCCACTCTCTCACTTCATCCCAGCTTCCCCTTCCCCAGGTCCTCAAGTCCATTCTCTACATCTGAGTCTTTATGCCTGTCCTGCCCCAGGTTCATCAGAACCTTTTTTTTTTTAGATTCCATATATATGTGTTAGCATATGGTATTTGTTTTTCTCTTTCTGACTTACTTCACTTTGTATGACAGACTCTAGGTCTATAATGTCTTTAATAACCCAAAGTTAAAGTATCAGAGAGAAACACAAACCATTGCTAGGACACTTGTTTTCATAATTTCATTATCTGTAACAGCAAGAAGCCATGAACAGGTAAAAACAATTTGATTCTTATTATCAAAATCAAGGATGATTATCATTAAGTACTAAATTTATCTTAGGTTAGAAAATCACAGTATGAAATATGAATATGAAAGCAGATTTCTGTTAGAACTGAGTCATTTTTGCTAATATTCATGAGCGTTTTTCACTGTGTCAGGCTGACGTGATTTATAATGCAAGGCCAATTCACAACCTTTTTTCATGAAACATTTCACAGCACCGTTGTTGGGAGAACTTGGGCTGAAGAAGACCTGGCCCACAGGGTGGGGGTTGGTTCGAAGCCAAACCAGAATGAATGAGGATCTCTTCCGTGCTCAGGAGGTTTGGGGTCCTCTGAGAATCCCCAGAGCAGGACAACCTTTTTTCATGAAACATTTCACAGCACCGTTGTTGGGAGAACTTGGGCTGAAGAAGACCTGGCCCACAGGGTGGGGGTTGGTTCGAAGCCAAACCAGAATGAATGAGGATCTCTTCCGTGCTCAGGAGGTTTGGGGTCCTCTGAGAATCCCCAGAGCAGGGTATCTGTGAGGAGGACCTTGGGTGTGGAGATTTCCAGTTCCCACATCCTCTGCATCCCCGGGGCAGCCAGCAGGTCCTGCATCTGAGGGGAGCTTTCATTGCCTCCAAACAAGGAAGGAAGTGCATTCCTCTTTATTAACGTGCTCACAACGTTAAGAGCACTCTGTGTGGAATGATGCCTGTGAAGTGTTTCTAATAAAAGCCGGACTGGGAAGCACTCCTTAGAGGTGTGTTATTATGGAATTAAAAAACTACAAGGTGAGGTCATTGGGGCGGGGAAGGAGGGAAGGGTTGGACATCTGATTAAACCACACTTTTATTAAATATAGAATTCAAAAAAAAAGTTATGTTCCAGATTAATGGGAACTCTGGTGATATTTTAAATGTTGCTTTTGATTAAAGATCCTTAAATTTAAGTGTTAGATCCCACTTAATTGTCATTTTGGAGCAACTCGTGTTTGAAACATTATTAGGGGAATATGATATATTCACCAGGATTTAATGACAGAAAGGAAAGCAGTGTGCTAAAGAGTCCACAAATCATTTAATGAATTGCTGCTATCAGGGCCAAATGAAATCAACGTGCTGACCGCAATAGGCAACCCTGCAGTACCCTTCTTATTATAATGTCCTCTTTTTTTTTTTAACATCTTTATTGGAGTATAATTGCTTTACAGTGGTGTGCTAGTTTCTGCTGTATAACAAAGTGAATCAGCTATACATATACATATATCCCCATATCCCCTCCCTCTTGCATCTCCCTCCCACCCTCCCTATCCCACCCCGCTAGGTGGTCACAAAGCACCGAGCTGATCTCCCTGTGCTATGCGGCTGCTTCCCACTAGCCATCTATTTTACGTTTGGTAGTGTATATATGTCCATGCCACTCTCTCACTTCATCCCAGCTTCCCCTTCCCCAGGTCCTCAAGTCCATTCTCTACATCTGAGTCTTTATGCCTGTCCTGCCCCAGGTTCATCAGAACCTTTTTTTTTTTAGATTCCATATATATGTGTTAGCATATGGTATTTGTTTTTCTCTTTCTGACTTACTTCACTTTGTATGACAGACTCTAGGTCTATAATGTCTTTAATAACCCAAAGTTAAAGTATCAGAGAGAAACACAAACCATTGCTAGGACACTTGTTTTCATAATTTCATTATCTGTAACAGCAAGAAGCCATGAACAGGTAAAAACAATTTGATTCTTATTATCAAAATCAAGGATGATTATCATTAAGTACTAAATTTATCTTAGGTTAGAAAATCACAGTATGAAATATGAATATGAAAGCAGATTTCTGTTAGAACTGAGTCATTTTTGCTAATATTCATGAGCGTTTTTCACTGTGTCAGGCTGACGTGATTTATAATGCAAGGCCATATACTTCGTCACAGAATATAACTTCTTCTTATAATTTAGACTAGGTTTCTGCTGATTATTAGTGATAAAATAATCAAAGCCGTATTTCATCATTCCTTCACTAGGCACAGAGAAAATTATCAGTGAGTCAGGAGTCCAGCCATAGGAGACCTATTCATTTTTCAGTATCTATCAATTCCCTCCGATTGCCTTCAAATTATGAAAGTAATTAAAAGTAAGATTTGATACAAAACTAGATCTTCTGGGTGTGGTTTTTACTAAAAACTGAGGGGCATGGCTTCTGAGTGAGTGCGCTGGGAACACCTCATAGTTCCAGGGCTTCCCTGAACCCTCCCTTCAGGTTGACACTTAGCCCACCGAAACCATCACGGGGACAAAAGCAGAGCAAAGGCAGCCATGGCTGCATCCAGCAGTTGTTACCAAATAACAAAAATGTAAATGCCAGGCTTCCCTGGTGGCGCAGTGGTTGAGAGTCCACCTGCTGATGCGGGGGACACGGGTTCATGCCCCGGTCCAGGAGGATCCCACATGCCGCGGAGCGGCTGGGCCCGTGAGCCATGGCCGCTGAGCCTGCGCGTCCGGAGCCTGTGCTCCGCAACGGGAGAGGCCACAACAGTGAGAGGCCAGCGAAACGCAAAAAAAAAAAAAAAAATGTAAATGCCAACTATTAGGAAGTAAAGAGGGAAAAAATATGTTAGTTTTGAGCATTGAAGGCAAGAAGTCCAGTGTGAACATATATAACACTTTTTAAAATTCAGAAACGTAGCATTGATGCGCTCCATCTATTTGGCAGAAAATAAATCAAAGTTTTAAGAAATTCTCTCAGTTTAATCCCCAGCCTATACCAGTAGTAACATCAAGTTATTTAAATAAGAGGGAAAATAACCAGTTCCTTACATTTAATATTTACCACTAGCACCGGGTCAGGGGTGGGGGGTGGTGAAATATGCAGGAAAGGTGTAATACACACACAGAATTTATATATGTCAATATAGGGTTACATATATAAATTATATATTTTTCCCTATGGAAAAGCCTAATTATAGAAAAATCTCAATATAAGTTTTCTGAATCTGCTAAAAGTTATGGGCTGCAATATCATATCTCTGTGCCATCAGAAAGATACCTTGACTTACTTGCAGGCATAGCTGTCGATCGCTTCAACATACATGCACACACCGCCGTGGAGGCAGTACCCATCGTGGGACGGGGGACATTCGGGGTAAATATTTCTCACAGGAGAGCGGCCATCCTCCCTGCGATGAGAGGGCGGAGTCGAGTCTGGAAGAAGCAAAGGCATTTCTTTTACTTTCTGAAGTGATTGGGGTCTTTCAGATATCGGTATCAGGGAGCGGTTTCTGTGAACAATGTGTGAGATAGACCAGTAGTTGTGATAGAGAACAACAGCTTCACTTTCTCAACCAGACCTCGTGTCCTTCACCATGCAGCCAGCCATTCTTTCCTTAGGTTCAGCATTATCTGACATAAAGCACATTGGAAGCTGTAAGAGAATGGTCAATCCCAAGACCATAGGAATTCCGAGTGCAGATCTCGTTATAAAAGCACATCCATCATCCAAAAACACATGCTGTGTGAAACAGCAGTTAGCTTAAGAGCGTCTCACTGAACAACAGTATCTCTTCACGGCTTATAAACCACCTACCACCACACAGTCCACTACCCCTAGTTTCCCGGGAGTCTCAAAAATTTCTCCCACACGAGACTTTCTTCTAAACACTGTTTAAGTTGTAGGGGAGCCCTCAAAGACAAAAGTAGCAACTTTGACAGAAAGGAAATGTTACCATAACAGAGGGGATGCCCAAGTGGGGAAGTCCGTTTTATTGGATGGTTTGCTGCTCTTTAAAAGGAAAACATTAGGGTGTGTAGCCGACTATATAAATATTAGGAGTCTTTCAGTACCTTTAAGAACAGCAAATTATTTGAGAAAATAATATGCTAAAAAAACAGAGACCCGAGCAAGTGCAGAACCTTCCTTTCTCAGGATGTTTTCTGCTTGCAGAGCTGAGACAGGTAAATAGCTGGCAATGACTTAGCTGACCCTGGCTTCTAGGGTCTATGAAGCCAGCTCCCCTTCTGAGTGCTGATGGTAAGAAGATACTGCTGTCATGCGGGAGGGTTCAGGAAGCAGGAAGCGACAATTATTAACATTTTTTAAAGTTCTAATTCAGATCAAGAAATACTGACTTTTTAAAAAAAAATTAAAAAATAAATGCAATTTTATTAAGAGTTTCAAATTACATATGTCAAATTTCTAGAATGGAATAGAACCATTTTGAAACTGGAGAGATGGCATAGATGAACACCGATATCCCTTGAAACTCCAACTTAATTTAAAAAAACAATTCCTCTGCAAACCATATTCCCCCTTATATAACAAAACGAAATAGTATCTATCTCTTCACTTTGGCAACAGCTATTTCCTAAAGGAATGAAAAAAAAAAGCAGTCATTTTGCTACTTCTTTAAGTTCATTAAAAATGGGATTCTATCTTTAGATTAAAAATGTTTAAGTTCAGAAAAAGCTTATTTTAAAATCCTTGAAAGTGATTCAAAATGCTAAGAGTCCGGACATCCTCCCCAACCTGTCTAGCCCTGCAGAGCTTTTCCAGCAGCCCCCAAAATCAACACTACAAATCAGGACATTAGCTGCATAGTTAAAGAGAACCACCTGTGTTCCCACCTTTATTGAATTGTGAATAATAAAAAAGGATTTATTCCAGATGCTATTAAATTAAGAAAACTTGGGCCATTTCACATTCTCAACCACAGCAGCAATCTAATCAGGAAAGTAAACTCACCAGCCTGATTGAACTGAATGATTTCTAGAAGCTCTAATGGAAATACACTTGGGTACTGATTTTTTCAGAATCAAGTCCCTCCCCTTGGATCTGGACCACCCACCAACCTACCAGGGCAAATCCGTCCAGGTTCAGACAAGTTGCCAGCACATGTGCAGGTGTAGTTTCCCTCCGTATTTGTACAGGCGGCATTTTCCCCACAGGTGTGCACACCCAGTTGGCACTCATCAACATCTGTCAGGAAAAGGGAGTAGGAAAGAGAAAAGTAGGGTGCAGAGGAGAACAGAGGGTGGTATAATTGGAAACCCCAATATTCTGGAAAGGGAGCATCTTCAACTTCTGTCATGCCACATGTTCTCAGAGCTCTATACATTTTTAGATTCAAAAATTCTGTTATAAATGTTGGAGAGAGAGATGGACTGGGCCCCTTGGCTGCATGCCCATGCAGGTAAACTCCTGACATGAGGCTGGAAGTTTTCCTACTGCTTTGGAAGGAAAGGAAATTTCCCAGCACATGTAGCTCAGTGGGAAAGTTGGAGATGGTAAACTATCTCCAGGTAAACATTTAGTGGTTCAGATCATATTAAATTCAACATTTTTGCCTTTTTTACATAAATATGAACAAAGTCATCACTTTTTTCCCAGCTACCCATCTTTTATTTTCTCAGTTACCACCACCCTAACCTTTAGGTCTTTCTTCTCTTCAATTTTCCATTTGCTGTAAGAGGAGCAGCCTTACAACATTCCCTACATCCCGTCTCTCCTGCACTTCTCTCCTAAACACCAGCGCCACATTAATCTTCCCGAACCACATCTCCCGTCACTGCACCACTCGACTCAGACGCTGCCAGTAGTTGTCTGCTTCCTAGAGCTGTGCTGCCCAATATGGTAGCCATCGCCATATGTAGGTATCGAGCACCTGAAGTGCAGCTAGTCCACACTGAAAGGTACTGTAAGTGTAAAACACGTGCCAGATTGCGTGGACATAGTATCAACTATGAAAGAACATAAAATAGATCAGTAATTTTTATATTATAGATAGCTAATGACAACCAAATGTATAGCACAGGGAACTGTAATCAGTGCTCTGTGGTGACCTAAATGGGAAGGAAGTCCAAAAAAGAGGGGATATATGTATACGTGTAGCTGATTCACTTTGCTGTACAGCAGAAACTAACACAACACTGTAAAGCAACTATACTCCGATTAAAAAATAATGATGATACTTTTTTATATTGATTATACATTAAGCTGTTAATATTTGGGATATATATTGAATAAAATAAAATATTATTAAAATTAATTTCACCTGTTTCTTTTTGCTTTTTGTAATGTAGCTACAAAAAATTTAAAATTACATATGTGACTGACATTATATTTCTACTGGATGGTGCTGGTCCAGAGAAGTAAAACCCCAATGCCTGACTTTCAGATTCTAGTTTTCCACAAATATAACTCAACTTACCTGTTATGGACTGAATTGCATCTCCCCAAAATTCATATGTCGAAGCCCTAACCCCCAGAGTGACTATATTTGGAGACAGGACCTATAAGGAAGCAATCAAGCTTATATGAGGTCATAAGAGTGAGGCCCTAATCCAACGGGATTGATGTCCTTCTAAGAAGAGGAAGAGATACCAGAGGTGTCTCTCTCTCCCTCTCTCACTCTCTCCACAAGCCACAGAGGAAAGGGCAGGTGAGTGTGGAGCAAGAAGGGGGCCGTCTGCAAGCCAGGAAGAGTCCTCACCAGGAACCAAATCTGCCAGCGCCTTAATCTGGGACTTCTGGCCTCCAGAACTCTAAGAAAATAAACGTCTGTTGTTGAGGCCACCCAGTCTACACAGTACTTTTGATGGTATCCAGAGCAGATGGAGACACCACCTTGCCAGACTCAGTTTCTGTTCTCCTTCACACAGTATAGACACACAGTCTATACTTAAGGCTCTAGGCTTTTCTCTACCCCCCCTCCCCCAAGTAAGACCTGTGATATGTTCATGCCTGCGGTGCTCCCCACTCCTTCACATTTCTGCATAATAAAAATGTACTTATGCCCCCAGTTCCATCCAAAACGATAATTCCTCCATGAAGTCTTTCCCAATACCTCAAACAGATATGTCTACCGGTTCTGAATTTCCACTTAGTTTTTACTTCTCTTATGACGCATACCTTTCTTCACCACGTATCACAGCTGCATTTCTTTTAGATCATATTCTCCATGTAAGCAAGGACTGCCTTCCTCATCTTGGCATTGCTCACAGATCCTAGCACTGTGTCTTTGCACTAATAGGGGTCAATTAAATATTTGCCACATTGAATCACTAACCTGAAAAGCCCAAAGGGAGTCTTTTTTTTTTTTTTTTAAACTGACATCCTACTGCAATCTCTATGAACTATCACCTTGAGAATGAGAGAGAAGCAAAAACAATGATGTACTGTTGGCCAAGAAACACAACTACTCTTAAGAATAACAACAGTTTTATACAGCACTTATTGTGGGCCAGGCATGGTTCAAAGCACTATATCTACTACATCTCTATATCTACTATATATACACGGGGCTGGGGGGCAGTGCGGAGAACAAGAACAAGCTCAGGGCTTCCATGTGGCCCGAGACGCCATGCCAACCAGGCAGGCTGGGCCATGACACTCTGCTCCATGGATGGAGATGCGTGAGTAACAGAGTGAGAATTCAGAGTATAATGAGTTTAAACATCCAAGAAAGTATACCTTCCTTTTTCTTCAAAGTAAATTAAATATAAAGCCTGTTTGTCTAAATTATCTATGAGCCTGCTTAATTCGAGCAGTGACATTTTCCCAATTGACAGCCAAATATGTGCTTAAAAGAGCCTTTACAGATGTCTGTGGACTCCACAAAACTAATCTGATAAACGTCTGATTTAAACCAACCAGATCCAGAAAATTGGTAGTTATGACTGATATTTCATCTTTAACCTCAACATGTGGGAGAAAGCAATGCCATTTTAGTTTGTTATCAAGGCATCTGCCCCTCACAGCGAAAAGATTTTTACGTTTTCAGAAGGAAAGGAAAACACTGAAAGAGACATGTTAAAGCCCCATAAAACTTGAGATAACTATTTTACTGGGCCAAGATGGCTTCAGGCAGGTCTTCACTTGTACAGTGACATTGTGTTACACCTGGAATGGTACATGACATCCACTAAGTGAACTCCTAACCCAGCAAGCCACACCCAGACCTTGGCAGAGGATGGTGATTATGAAAGAGGTCTTAATCATTCCTTGCTTGATTCTAAATGTCAACAGCTTGAACTTATCAAGAGCCAGCTGTGAGCCCTTTCACAGAACCACGCCTCCTTCCCTTTACACACAGCCGTGACCTCCAAAAAACCCACATCAGCTCTGCAGTTCACCACGGTTCAATTGCCAAATTCAGTGACAAAGAAAATGCCGTCCAGTTCCCCCCATGATGGCTCGAGGTGTGGAGTTATCGATGAGGCACTGATGTCACTCAACCCCGTGTAGAAGCTGACTAGTGCGGTCACAGCCAAAGGGCACGAAATTGACTATTTACCCAAAACTGAAATATGTCAGTTTGAACAGATCACACAACTCCTCCTTTAGTCTTAACATGTGTGTCAGCACAATTCTCTCCTGTCTTTTCTCGGCCCGCCACACCCAGTGTTTGGTGATTCTCCAAGGCTTGCCTTCACCCTTGGCCCTCTGCACACAGCTCTCTTACCAAGGCAGTGGATCCCATCTCCCTGGTAGCCTTCTGAGCACCGGCAGACATGGCCACCTTCAGTATTGACGCACTTGGAGGAGGTGGGAGGGCAAACTGAGATACCCATCTGACATTCATCTATATCTGTGGGCAAAATGATGAGCTAGTGAAATACATAGGCAATCCTGGTATAAAGGAAAAGTGTAGGAAAGGATAGTATAATCTTACATACAATCATCCAGCCATTTACAGGTACTGCTTGCAAATGTGATGCAAACCCTCCATCTTGGACTTAAAGTTCATTTCTGAATCAATTTTTACAGATTTCTCAGTGTTTCACTAGTGTAAGTAAATCACTTTTTGCCAGAGTTTCAGACCATAAGAACATTTACAATAATGGCTATCAATGTAAAATAGTAACCCATCCAGCAAAACCTATTTAATAAACTAAAACTTATGACCTAAGCCTTTGGGGGGGAAAGCTGTGTTTTTATTGGAATTGGGGAGTTTAGAAATTTGACTTGAACTCAAATTCATGCTTTTAAAGCTAATTATAAATTCTTCTCCTTGGGGCTTCCCTGGTGGCGCAGTGGTTAAGAATCCACCTGCCAATGCAGGGGACACAGGTTTGAGCCCTAATTCGAGAAGATCCCACATGCCGTGGGGCAACTAAGCCCAAGCGCCACAACTACTGAGCCTGTGCTCTATAGCCCACGAGCCACAACTACTGGGCCCATGTGCCACAACTACTGAAGCCCGCGTGCCTAGAGCCTGTGCTCCGCAGCAAGAGAAGCCACCGTGATGAGAAGCCCGCGCACCGCAATGAAGAGTAGCCCCCGCTCGCAAAGACTAGAGAGCCTGCGTGTAGCAACAAAGACCCAACACAGCCAAAAATAAAGTAAATGAAATAAATATTTTTTAAAAATCAATTATATTAAAAAAATTCTTCTCCTTAATGTCAATTGTCTATATCATGGAGTTTTAATATAACTCAAAGTAACATAACAATATGTTATATGTTTCTTATTTTCTATTCATACACCCATTACCTTTTTAACTAATATCAAACAATGTATTCAATCCTCAGGGTAACATCAATCCTTCTGGAGATTTTGAATCAGTATGATCTGAGAGAATGTTTCTGATTCACTATTTTCCAGATATTATGTGTATTTGGATTTTGCTCTTACCAGAACACAGTTTTCCATCTCCGGCAAATCCTTTCAAACACCGACATGTGACATTCTCTCCCTCTGAAACACACCAAGCCTGTGTACTGCATCCCAAGGCACTACAGTCATCATCATCTGCAAACAGCGAGAACCCCACAGGATTATTTCCAGACCTCAGAGGAAAAAATGGACTTCAGTGTTTTGCATTCTACCGAAAATTCCACTACGTCCTTTCTCAAGTTCTGGGGCAGGTTAACCTCCAAATAGAAACACTGTGCTGATCTGTAAGCTATATCTATATTAAAGGGTCCACAAACCATATGTTTCTGTTTACATGCTCTCAACAAATCTTTAGTCCTAAAGAATTATGTGGTGTTCAAAGACCCCCGTGTGAACTTATTTATAATTTTTTAAAGCATTTGCAAATTTGAACGATACAATTTCTAGGACTAAACGGACTCAAACTTCAAAAATTGTATTGCTTTATTTGAGAATTCCCAACCGTTGTGACATACAAAAGGGGCCAATATATTCTTATCTCTCAAAGATACGCAACTAATATGTAGCAAGTAGATCTGTGTACCAACATGGCAAAGAGATTTAATCATAAAAAGATTTATTGTCAATTTACTAAAATTATGTTTGATATATAATAGAATGTATATGTCAAAATGTATGTTTATTATCAAGATTTATGCCATGACTTGCAAACCTCAAGGCACTTTTTTTTTTTTCAAATTTATTATTTTTGCCTGTGTTGGGTCTTTGTTACTGTGCACGGGCTTTCTCTAGTTGCAGCGAGCGGGGTCTACTCTTTGTTGCAGCGCGCAGGCTTCTCATTGCGGTGGCTTCTCTTGTTGCAGAGCACGGGCTCTAGGCGCGCAGGCTTCAAGTAGTTGCAGCTCATGGCCTCTAGAGCACAGGCTCAGTATTGTGGCACACAGGCTTAGCTGCTCTGTGGCACGTGGGATCTTCCCGGACCAGGGCTCCAACCCATGTCCCCTGCATTGGCAAGCAGATTCTTAACCACTGTGCCACCAGGGAAGTCCCACCTCAAGGCACTTTTACAGAGTCATGAACCATACAAACTAAATGCTGTAAAAGGATCATTTCATTTCATACTCCAATGAAATGCAAATGCCCCAGAAGACAGAGTTGCCTTTTGAGCCATAAACATGAGCAAGTTTTTTTTTTTTTTTCCTTTAGCTACTTATGTATATAATCATTCTCCAAATGCCTCCTCTCTGTTGGAGTTGGGGGTACCTGACATACCACAGTAGGATATAAACTATCTTCTGTCTTTTCACTGGTAAATTTGCTCATCTGAGTATAGAAGAGGTCAAGAAACCCTCCAAAGTTGCCCATAAATTAAAGAAAGTTAAATGATCTAAATAGGAGTCAGGTGCCATGTGAATGCAGACAGCGGCTAATTGCGTTTGATTTGCTTAGCTATTTGAGTGAGATTTTTCTTGTGGGAACACGGGCCTTTCATGCTTGCTTGGTCACCTCCTGTCCCTCATGACTCTTCGAGATGGATAAGTTCAGACTAAATCAATTATCCATTGGATTCAGCATTTATTTGGAAGACTAGCTCCCAAATCACAAGGCTGTTCAGAGTGTATGGTGGACAGTATCAAATTACCCAAGACATTTTAAATCACTTGCGGAATTATCTTAAATTAACATATGATTCAGGATTTATTTGGTAACTTGCAAACCCCAAGGCAGCTTTGCATAATGAAAAGCAATGGATATGCAGTTGCAGGAGGGATGAGCCATAGCCAAAGCTCCTTCTGCCACAAACTAGCTCCACAAGGAAGGCATGCATATGCTTCACGTGCCTCTTCTCTAAAATGCAGATGACAGTTTCTGTCCAGTCTATTTCACATGGTTGTTGTAAGCACTTGAAGAAAAAGTGATTTTTAAAAGAATCTTTTGAGAACTATAAAATATTTTATTTACATATCTAGATAAGAATGATAAAGAAGCAGAATATTGTGACAGCCTGAATCAGAATTAGCCTTATCACACTAGAAAAGACTCTGGGGTCTGTTTGTAAAATTAACAAAATTAATTCATTTTGAAGCACCTACTATGTGCCAGATCCTAATGAGGGCCAAAAATACAGTGGTGGAGAATATAGACAAGGGCTCTGTTTTCTTACATGATTATTTATTGAAGTATAGGTGTAATAAGCACAATCAAGAAAAAATACTGGGTTCCAAGAAAGCTGAAACAACTCTCGCCTCACCTGGTCACCTAGGAGACTAGGAAAGGCTTGCTGAGAAAGAGCATATTAAGCTGAGATCTGAAGGATACACAGAACTTGGGGAGGTGGGGTTAGAAAGAGCACTGTAGGCCGAGAAAACAACACCTGCATGTTATAGGCAAGGCCCATGTAATGGAAGCAGGCCATAGAAAGCTGGGGATAGAAGGGCACAAATTGAGGCTGGTGAGGTGGGTACAGGCTAGTTTCTCCAGGGCTCAACAGGCTACGTTAAGGATTTTACATTTTATTCATGAATTTAGAAGAATTCGTGATTTTAGTGAATTTGACAATGAAACTTTTTAGGATTGAATCTCTTTGCCATGTTGTACACAGATCTGCTTGCTCCATATGACTCTGTGTCTTTGGAGAATAAAAAGATATGGACCTAAAAATCTAACATAAAGTTTTCGATTTATTTTTAGTATAGATACTTGTTTGAAATGAAATTTCACAACAAAATGTAAGTAAGACCCCTTAGCCTAACACAGGTAGAACTAAAACTTTACAGGCTAAGACAAAATAGAACACAATCCAGGGAGGGAAAGATGGGGTAATCTTCACCAAGACAATCAATTTCATTTATTCCACACGAGGCAGAGTACAGTCTCCAGGCAGGAAGCCAAACACAGCCTGTTATATATGTATTCCAAATCTTTAGCCATTTTGTCACTCCCCCATGCCACCCACGTGGCCTAATTTACTGTCTGTCATTCACCTTGGTCTTTGAGTCCCCCAAACATTAGCCTTTCAAAATATCCTCTGTGAACCTCTAGGGATCCCTAGTGACTTTGAAAAGGTTCTCTATGCTGCTAATATATATTATGTATATTGTTTTATTCTACCACATTGTCTCCACATCCGACTATGACCTTGGAGGCTGGGGCTATATTTAGCTAAGTATGGTATCACCAGCATTTAGCACGGTGTATGGCAAATAAATAGTCACCAAATGAATAATATTCCTAACATGACCATGTTTCCAGTAATTCTTTCCTTGATATGAATTAATTACTTGGTCATAATTTTCAAAATCTTTGGTCGAGTCACTAACTTCACATATCTTAGTTTTCAAATCTGTAAAATGATAGATGGTGATAAGCATCAAATTAGAGGATATACTTAAAGGACCTGGTAAACTCTAAAGCTCTGTAAAAATTATTATTACTAAAAATATTCACCTCTTTGTATTTTATCAAAAATCACACTGATAAAATCCTCTAAGAAGGGGTAAGAGGTCCCAGGGCCTCGAAAATTGTAGTTTGCTGACCACAAAAGTTGTGGTTAAGTGTATATAATGCCCTAATGTGGAGTTCTCAAATTTATTTTTAGCCACATACAGTGTTAAAATTAAGTTTCACTCCGAAATATAAATAAATAAAATGCTTCAAAGCAGAGCTGCACTGATGGAAAGGTAGAGACTTAGCATGGAGAAGAGGTGGGGTTTGCAGAAGCTTTAGGGCTGAGCTAAGCCCAGTTTGAAAACCACTGGCTTCATGAGTGAACACAGACTATAAAAGAATTAGGTTCCCTAAAGTCGTTACATACTGAATAAATTATTTAGCATTTGGCTGATAAATGGACAATATATTATAGAAGAAAAAAAAAAAATCTAACATTTGCTGTTTGTGGACTTTCTGGAGCAGCTGAAGCAACCAGCCTATATTTGCTTATCAGCTACCATCTGCTTTTCACACTGACAGAAGTAAAGCTAAATGGGCCAAACACCAAAAATACTAGGCATGGATGGGGATACACCCAAATCTGTCCTGGCCTATTTTTCACTTTTCTTTCCAAGTTAGATTTCTTCAAAAAAGATTCAGTCCAAGGACACTCAATGAGTAAAGTTCATGTCCAGTCTAATATGGAGCCATCTTCCTCAGATAAACCATTCAGAAGAGGACCAAAGTTTGAGTCCAAAGTTTGTCTTCGCTAGCTTTGTGTAGATTTAGTCAACATTAAGTTAGAGAGTTCATTCAGAATTTCTAATTAGTAGGATGGAAATTGTTGGAACCAAAGCTGTATTGGAGAACTCATTATTCATACCTGACACCATGATTTCAGCCACTAGCATATGTTGAGATTCTGTAATATTATCTTCAAGCTCTCTACTGCTGGGTAAGATGTCCAACGGTATTACTCCATTACTCAGATCTGCTCCACTACCTATTGAAGGCCAACGGATACAATTAATTTACCTTTTGTGATTCAAGAAATGTTTGAGTTAATTTATATTTATGGCTGTTTGTGTGAGTTCAGACTCTTTCTTAGAGTCGGAGGATTCAGAAAAACTGCCAGGGTCTTGGTGGCTTAGAAAACCTTCTCTGCTACACTACACGCTCTCAGCTTCACTCCATGCACTTATAATTGAGGGTGGGGAGAGCCAGCAGGGAAGAAAGACAGGACTCTTCTCGGTGCTGGCAAAAACAGTAAAACTAGAATACCAAAATCCTTATGAACATAATCAGCTCATAATCACTGCTCGCCATTACTGAGGACAAATTAGTGAGATGATTTCCCCAACCTGCCTTTCATATATACCCCTTCTCCTTTAGGCTGCTTATAACATTTATTTTAGCCTGATTTTGCCAGTATTTAGAAATGTGGAGGGGCATAAACAAGCTATAATTTAACATAGACATGAGACCTATGCAACTCCCCAGAACATGGAAGAAATGGATCCCCTAAAACACTGTGTATTCTCTAAGCATGGGTCATGGATCCCTGGGGTCTCACTGCATGGCATCTAGAAGGTCAAAACTATTTTCATAAAAGGCAAATAACTGTATTGTTATTTTCACTGTCAACATTGCTAAGTGATGGGGCAAAAGCAGACATGGGTGAAAGTGTGGTGCTTTAGCATGAATCGTCATGATACTAGTAGCATGTTCTCTACTGTGGTCATGTTCTTCACTGCCACATACACACACACACACACACACACACACACACATTCCAGTTTCACCTTTAAAAGCCCATGATGGGGCAGTAAAATTACTAATTTTTTAAAATCTTGACCATAGACTACCTGGCTCTTTAATCTTCTGCGTAATGAAATGGGAAGCAACACATAAAACACTGTGCACACACTGAAGCTATGATGGCTGTCTGGAGGAAAGGCACCTGTGAACTCTCAGAGATACGAGCTAAAACTAGGCTCTTTTTTTTTTCATTGAACATGATTTTTACCTGAAAGAATGTTTGATAAACTATGTCATTAACATTTGGGGATTTGATATTTTCTCAACAATGAATGAAGTGATGCTGTCACTTCAAGGAAAATTAGCTCACGGTGCTTGTTGCCAGTAATAAAATTTAAGCTTTCAAGTGGAAAGTAGAATTCTGGAAAATTTTCCACAAAAGAAATTTAACAAAATCCAGACACTCAAAGACTTTTCTGATGAGTTTGATAATAATAATTAGTTAATGTTATTGTAGGTATATTAATGTGATATTTGGCAGACTTGCGTAACTCAATCAATATTTTTAAATGACCAAAACATGATGCAACAAAATCATGCATGGCAAAAGATCCACTCAAAGTGCAAAACAGAACACTGAGTTTTAACATAGCAGGGGACAAAAAGTTCATTGATATGGCTTCAGATTCAACATTGCAACTAACTCTAAGAAACTACCACCTGTCTAGTTCTGATATACATAATATCAAAAGAAGATATACAGAAAAGTCCTCTGAAAAGGCTATTAAGCAATCTTCCCTTTTCCAGCTCCATGTGTGTCTGATTTTCTTCATTGGCTTCAAACAAAACAACACAGCAACAGCTTTAACAGAGGGGCAGATGGGAGAATCTGGCTGCCCTCTATTAAGGCAGATATTAAAGATATAAACGTAAAACAATGCCATTCTTCTTACTACATATTTTTGTTTTGAAAAATAGAGTTATTTCATTTATTTTCATAAAAACATATTCACATATAATGGAATATTACTGTAACTTTAATAGAGATATTAAAATTTTTAGTCTTAATCTCTAATACAATAAATCTTGATAAATATAACCCACACAAACAAAGACTCGAGGTTTTCAATCATTTTTAAGAGTGTAAAAAGGTTCCAAAACCAAAAAGATTGAGAACTGTTATTCTAAGGCAACAATTGGTAGAAAGTTCAGAAAATCCAAAATATTCAATTCTGGTCCATGGATAAATTAATCCATTTATTTGCTGTCAATGTCACCTAACATATCATGCCTATTGGATAAATATGAATTTTTAAAAAACATCTAAAATAAAATTTAAGTTCTCTTTGGTATAAGATATCAAGAGATGAATCCAAATACACCTTACCTGTTTGGATGCACATTTAAGGGAAGTAAATCAGTGCTACTGTTTACATGTCATATTAGATCTCTTCTTCCTCAAAGTTACATTTAGTTTTTTGTTTGGTTTGGTTTTGCTGTACGCGGGCCTCTCACTGCTGTGGCCTCTCCCATTGCGGAGCACAGGCTCCGGATGCGCAGGCTCAGCGGCCACGGCTCACGGGCCCAGCAGCTCCGCAGCATGTGGGATCCTCCCGGAGCGGGGCACGAACCCGTGTCCCCTGCATCAGCAGGTGGACTCTCAACCACTGTACCACCAGGGAAGCCCTACGTTTAGTTTCTAAAAATGTGGATCACAAGCCTTGTCGAGCTGGATTCCCTACACCTGTTTGGTATTCTAAACTTATTTATTACAAAGGACTTTGCTTTTCATATAAAGACAGTCATGTGGCAGGGGGTTTACATATGACTACCTCTAAAATCGAGGCCATAAAACTTCAAACAAGATGTCTTTGAACATTCCCTGAATTGGTAAAATACTGGCATTTATTTCCAAGGATGGGCTATTCCACCAAAAATGGGGGTCTGGAGCACTGGAACTTAAGACTTGGAATATTATCTTTTGTTCATTAATTTTACAGCTAGAAGAAGTCAACTGAATTTAGTTTGTAATGAGGAGGCCAAACTCATCGGTGGGGCGGGGGGAAAGACAGTTTGGCATCGCTAAAAGCAAGGGAGCTTTTAATAATACAAAATATTAAAAATTAGCACAAGCATAAAAATCAACGTAGGACAATATTCCTGAGCTAAAGTAAGATAATTTGGCCACATAGTTTATCATATTCCCTGCCAATATCTGATGGCCATTCAGAGCCAGACACGTTTTTCCATCTGGAGCTTTCACAAAACCTTCACGACACAAACACTGAGCAGTTCCAAACCTCTCTTCGCAAATATGTTCACAGCCTCCGTTTTGATGTAAGCAGGCATCTGCTCCTAGCAGAGAGGAGGTACATTCACAGATGGGCTTGGAGATGAAAAGGTGTAAAATCAGTGTACAGCTTTGGGAGAAAGAAACTATCTAAATGGAGCTGTTTATATCAAGAGCTATTTCAGAAGAGTTCCTATAAAGAGCCACTCGTTCTAAGATAAGCTCAGAATGTTATTACCTTAGGAGTATTGAGTTTAGCCAGTTCCTTTGTTCAAGAAGCTATTTGGGAAGATAGGACTCCTATTTCCTGACTTATAATCTAGTCAAACTGACAAAGGGTGATTCAGAAAGAAGAGTTACTGTGGGAAACTAAGTGGCTTTTCCATCTGCTTACCTACTCCTGGCTGAAGCTCACTCACTTGCATTCTCAGGAGGTGGGGAAAAGCCCAGTGTAGGCAGAAGCTTCCACTGCGGGTTTCTAAATCGCTCCCCCCACCCATCCCTGCCCCTGCCCTTAGTGCCTTTAACCCAAAAGTCTTTGAAAAGGAGCAAATAAGTAAAAGCTACTCAGGAGAAGAAAAGTTGAGGTTGGAGGGATAAAGCCCAAACTTATTACCAGACTATCTTAGTTTAAACGAAATCTCAGGAGATCTTAACATCTACCCAAATTAGTGAGAAGTGCAACACAGACACCCTTCCCTGCCGTCAAACAATTAAAATAGTTGCAGATGCCAGTCAAAGAAAGACTGTGTCCAGTGTACCTGGTTTTGCCAATGGATGAACTACAACCAGTGATGAGGGCTTCAGCATGCTGCCTCGGAGACGTACCCTATTTTTGCCAGTCCTCTTGTTCACCCTTATTACCGATGGCATAGCCCAATCAGAGAACCACACATGATCCTCAAACACAGCCACAGCAAATGGGTGACCTGGAAGCAGTTGAGATCCATTATAAACATCTTGTCTTTGCCATGAATATTTTTAAAAGGACAAGGCCCAGGGCAGGAATGTTTCCGTGTTCAGTGATTCTGTCACTATTTATAGACTAAACAACTTGACTGGGTAAGTTGGGTAAGTTATTTTACCCCTCTTTGTCTTAGGTTCCTTGTCTTTTGCATGGCAGTAATAAGTAGTAGACTAAATTTACAGGTTGCTGTAAATTGAGATTTTTACAACATTTTTAAAAATCTAAGGTAATTGAATAACAGCCTCCTCAAATTCCCATCTCCACCAATACATTTCCTTTCCTATCTCTCCTCTTAACTAAAATTAGTCCATTGACTGTGCTCCTGCCTTCTCTAGGACCTTGTTCTGTCAATTACTCCTTTCATTTACATTAATTCTCTTCTATTCATCTTATCAGCTTCTTTCCCTTAGCTGATTAATATGTTCAGGTCTCTCCTATCTTAATTCCCTCATTCCCTTGACCCCTCTAACTTCTTTTTGTCTCTTTCCTTCCCTTCTCAGACAAGTTTTTTGGAAGTTTTTATTATCTGCTGCTTCCATTTTCATGGCTCCAATCAACCCCTAAGTGGCTTCTTCTGATCCTACCTCAACTAAACCCGCCTCTCCATGCCACTGAAACTGCTCTGATAAGATATTCCAGTATTTAGTAAGCTGGGAAATGTTTTAATATACTATCTCAAGTGTTAGAGGCTAAAGCTAAGGACCTAGGTTTGGAAGCTTTTATCATATCCAGTCACATTCCCCAGGCCAGTCTTTTTGCTAATGAAAAATGGATTTGGTGGATTAGGGTGAATGTCTCCCTCTACTGGCAGGAAACTCAAACGATTTTTCCAGGTGAAATGAATCTCCACCCATCATTATTGACCAGGGCCATTAAGATTCATTTGGGTCTCTAGCCTTTGTCCCAAATTAAAGCCATAAAGGCAGGAAGGGAATTTCCTATATAGTTATTGTTTTGTTTTGTTTGTTGTGATAAAAAACGTATAATACAAAATTTACCATCTAAGCCTAAGACTTAACCCACGGTTTCAGTAATGTTAAATACATTCATATTGTTGTGCAACCAATTTCCAGAAATTTTTTCATCTTGCAAAACTGAAAATCTATACCCATTAAACAACTTCCTGTTTCCCCCTCCCCCTAGGCCCTGGCAAATACTATACTACTTTCTGTTTCTATAAGTGTGCCTATTCTAGATACCCTAAGTAAGTAGAATCATACAATATTGGTCTTCTGTGACTGGCTTATTTCATTTAGTAAAACGTCCTCAGGGTTCATCTATGTTGTAGTATGTGTCAGAATTAGCTATTGTTTTTCAACACAAACCCCACACTAGATATAATCTTCTTTATTTTTTGTTTACAGGAGAGCCACAGTTGAACTACCAGTAGATGGCACTGTAATGGTGGGAACGGTTATTTAGATGTTCATATACCAGATTATTTGTATTTGTATTTAATAGGAAGTTGCATTAGTCACAGATTATAGCAATACAAATTATTTACAAAATATCTCCTATGCTTTTTTTGGTTTAGAATATGTTGTCTTTACATTCTAGTTAGGAATTTCCAAATCCCTTTACACCTCCAGCTATCAAAGCTATAACTTTACATTTATTTGGGAGATTTTTTTTTTTTTTTTTTCTTTTTGCGGTACGCGGGCCTCTCACTGCTGTGGCCTCTCTCGTTGCGGAGCACAGGCTCCGGACGCGCAGGCTCAGCGGCCACGGCTCACGGGCCCAGCCGCTCTGCGGCATGTGGGATCCTCCCAGACCGGGGCACGAACCCGTGTCCCCTGCATTGGCAGGCGGACTCTCAACCACTGCGCCACCAGGGAAGCCCTGGGAGATGTATTTTTTAACAATGTACGTCTCCCCTACTGACTCCATAACTTCACAGGAACCATGATTGTTTTACTCTCCACTGTATCTCCACTTCCTATAATGGCACATGGATGATAAAAGTCTACAATTGTACACAAGCTTATAATTTATTGTGAAGTATGTCAATTTTTAAAGAAGCTTGGAAGTATGTAAAATTTTTAATTATATTTAGCTTGATCTATTTAATGTATAATACAAATCTAGAAGTTCATTACCAAAGAGAAAGGGCAAAATAAATACCTTACGTGGATTATTAGTTTGTTAGCTTCTTCCTAAAAAAGAGAGACCATGTTTTTCATCTTCCCAACCATCCAGTTTCTAAATTCCCAGAGCATCTCTAACATCACCCTGGCTTTCATTTTGACATCCAATCTGTTACCAAATCCTCTTGGTTTTTCATTCACAGTGATTTTCGTAATATTCTAATCCTCCATTCTACTTTTTAAATGGCAATCTTCTAGCTCAGGCCTCTATTAACTGTTGACTAAACAATTATCATAACCTCCTAACTCATTTCCTTCTCTCCAAATTCCAATCCAACACTTATACTGTTACCTAAGTGGTTATCCTGATATACCAGTATTATCAGATATATTTCCTGCTTAAGAATATGCAGTGGCTCCCTAGTACGTTCAGAATTAATTTCAGTTAACATATTCTGGCAGTACTAACATACAAAGACCAGTTTTTGCAGCCTCATCTCAAATGATAGTGTTTTATCACCTTCTATTTACCACATGGCCCAGTTCAAATACCGTCTTTGCAGATTCCCTGAGTCAAAATCAATCTCCTACTGCTATATAATGTCATAACAGTTTGTACTTCTCTTTTAACAGTTAGCATAGACTACAGTGTTTCAAAACTCTTTATGAAAATACATGACACCCCATACAAAATCTGAAAATATAATAGGAGGGAAAACTGTATTAACCTTTGCACATGAATGGCTAAAGGTGATACTATCACTTGTGAAAATGACATTTGAGAAAACATAAGAAATGGTAGTAGCTGAACAAGTCCTTATTCTTAAAGAAGTTTTAAAATGGTTAATATTTTCATTCTGATTTTAAGAAATCTTGGCAAAGAGAAATGATTATGCATCACTATTTTTTATTCAATATTCCAATGTTAAAGTAATCTTTGTAGCTCATAAATCTCTGGAGAAATCTGTTAGTCTGTTTGTCTCTGTTCCTTTCTCACCATATGTTTAAGGGTGTGTGTGTGGGGGGGGTGAGTGAGTGTGTGTGTGTGTGTGTGTGTGTGTGTAAATACATTTTGTATTTAACACTCATCAACACTCAATCAAGTTGAAGAAATCACCCATTCCAAAGCCTCACCTACATCGTTCTGGGCAAGTCTTTGGCGTTTTGAACCATCCAGATTGGACATTTCAATCACAGACTGCTTGGCATCGCACCAATACAACTTGTCAGTTAAGTAATCAATTGTTATTCCACTGGGCCAGACCAGATCCGAGCTAGCTATAACCAGTCGGCCAATGCCTTGAAGGGAAGAACTTTCAATTCGTGGATTAATCCCCATCTCAGTCCAGAATAATCTCCTTTAATCAAGAAAGCATACAACAAATAAAACTTGCAAGGAAAACAACTTCTTTTATTCTTTCATTATTAAAAACATCAATGTAAGTCACTTTAGGATAAACTAAAGTGGTACACCAAGGAAATAGAGAAAGAGAAAGTATAGCACTGAATATTGGACACATAATTTTCAAAAGCAAAAAATTACCTTCTCTATGTACAACAACTTGGACAGAAAATGCTGAATTAAGGCTCAGATGATTGGATAAAAAAGGAATTGTTAGTTTAAAAACTTGTAGTATATTACTAATCAAAGGTGTTTGAGTGCATATTCTTAAATCAGCGTTTCATGCTACAAAAGGCAATGGAATCTTGCTAGCCTGTCCCTCTGCTATGCATATGTAAAACTTGCTGTATACGTAAAATTACAATGTAAAGGGAAGAGCATATTTATCTATTATCCTGTTTTGTACTATGTACTCAGTTAACTTGGTCAATTTTAAGTTCTGTAAATCAGGTGCTGAGGCACATTTTTTGAAACTCAATATGGTTCAGCATCTTTTCACTGGCTTGTTTAGAGATGGTTACATTCTCATTGTTTGAATCATGTGGCTGGCTCCAAATTAATTATCTATTTCTACCAGCTTATTATTTCCCACAGACCATCATAAAATTTCCATTATAAATAAAATAGGATGAGCTTTTATCCTTGATTTTTAACTAGGAAGGAATTATTCTCCTTAATTCTCTAACTTAAACCAACATTTGTCACTAATTCACAATTAACAACATAGAGCCTCCTAATATTTCACGATTTCTCTTTCCTCTTCCCTAAATCTAGGAATGACCTATCACTGGGACTCATGATTTTTCTAAATAGAATTCATAAGCCATGCAATCCAAATATCATCCTCTCTCAAGAAACAATGTAGTTTTTAAAGAAAGTACATAGTGTAAGGGGCTCATGCCTCATAGATTAATGAATTACAACCCACTTCTTTTCAAAAAGAAATTGAATTTGCTTAAAATGAAAGGGTATCGAAACAATAAAGTTTTCTATAGGAAAAACAAATCAAAAGACATAAAAAGGATGAGGAAGTTAGGCTAGCCATACCATTTCTGAACATTTGAACAAATCTCATGGATTTTCTTGGTTTCTGATTCCACTGACAACCTGAGGTCTTAAGACAAATTTTGGACACTAGCACATCAAACGTAAACTGTCCTATGACCTCCACAGAAAGGGCCTTATTTTCACAAATACTTACTTGGCCATTGGATGAACAGCAAGTCCTCGTGGCTGAGAGATGTCCTCCTTAATGATTATTTCACGATACCTCCCATTTAGATCACTCCCTTCAATGAGAGATTTCCTAAGATGCATGTAATATAAAGGGGTTTGTTATATCAACTTTACTTTTTAAACAAAAATACTTGTTTTCCCTGTTGCTTTCTGAAAAGCAAAATAGGCATATTCTAAACTCCCCTATCACAGGTGTGCACATGAGCACACACGTGTCAGGAGTAACACTTACGCAAAGTCTATTGTTTTTTTTTAACACAGTGTTTAAATTAGTTTCCCAATATTTATCCCAAGCAATTAAAACACACCGTGAAAGGGTAAGGTAAGAGGGTTCTGTGTCAGTGGCCTGGCAGGGATAAAGCCAGGAAGTACAAATGCCACCATCCCTTTCTCTTCACAACCTCCCAGCTCCTGCTGGAACCAATAAAAGCCTCCGCCTGGTGTTCACAGATCACAGGGAGGAAGGAGGGTAGACCTCAAAGGGCCACAGAGACAACCAACACAAGGACAGTAGGAGAAGACTTACACTGGCTTTAACTTTCTTCCATCTGATTCTAAGACAAATGGGAGCACTGAAATACCCTTTGCTACTCTTTACATTAAAAAATAATAATAACTCTTTGGAATCTGGCAGGGGAGAAAATACTTGCTTTCTAATTTTTCCATTTATTTGTCAAACAAATCTTGATGATCAAATAGACATTTCCTCAGCACCTAGTGTGTGTCAGGGATTGACCTAAGCACTGGAGATACAATAGTAAACAAAACCTGGCTCTGTCCTTAAAGAGTTAGAGATCAGCTGGAGAGCAAAGGGGAGGGAGACCGAAGCGCAGCGGGGGGGACGGGGGCGATGGGCAGGGAAGAGAGGGAAGAGAGGGAGAGGGAACTGCAATACAGAGACTGTAAAGAATGTGACTGGCAGACTCAGTGCGGGTGGCTTGCTGGAGTGCACTGTGAGCCCCAGCAGCTTCCCTGAACAGGCAGGACCACAACAGAGGAGATTACAAAGAACCTCCCTGGGCTTCTCTGGTGGCGCAGTTTTTGAGAGTCCGCCTGCCGATGCAGGGGACACGGGTTCGTGCCCCGGTCCGGGAAGATCCCACATGCCGCGGAGCGGCTGGGCCCGTGAGCCATGGCCGCTGAGCCTGCTGTGTCCGGAGCCTGTGCTCCGCAACGGGAGAGGCCACAACAGTGAGAGGCCCACGTACCGCAAAAAAAAATAAAATAAAATAACCTCCCTTCCCCACCTCGTGCCACCTGCCCAGAAACACAGACCAAGACCAGTCCCTCCTCCCTGTGCTACAAAACACTCAGGAGACCTTCTGCAGGTGGCTTGTTTAAGTGCCCTTTCTAGATGGGGGCCCGGGGCTTGATCTATTCTTCCTCATGGGCCATATGCAGGAGGGAGATAAAGGTAAAATTGGCTCAGGGCCTGGGCTGCGCCAAATACACTTTGCAAACTACCAACTCAGGGCAGTGGATAATTTGAAATCATTTATACTCCAGTGCCACTTTTTTTTTTTTTTTTTTTTAAAATATCAACTTGTTTTACTGAGTAACAGTTTCAGGTTGAAATGGGTTATACTTCCCAGTCATCAGTGTATCATGTGGCACATTAGAATTCATGGGAAGAATTTCCAGAGTTGAAGTCTTTTGACTCACTCAGTGTTGACAGTAACTTGGTCTGTGGGCTCCTGGCTGGGGAGACAAGCATAACCCAAGCTTGGCCACCGACCTTCAGGTTGTCTTTTGTCACATTTTACCAGTTCTAAGTGGGGAGTCTGAAGAGCAAATGTCACAGCTACATCCAGGCAAAGCAGGAGCTCATTTCTCATTGCTGCATCTGAAAAACCATGCTGGTTGCATCCCCTGTAGCTGGGGCAAACAGATTTTTAAATTGCGGTACGCGGGCCTCTCACTGTTGTGGCCTCTCCCGTTTTGGAGCACAGGCTCCGGACGCGCAGGCTCAGCGGCCATGGCTCACGGGCCCAGCTGCTCCACGGCATGTGGGATCCTCCCGGACTGGGGCACGAACCCATGTCCCCTGCATCGGCAGGCAGACTCTCAACCACTGTGCCACCAGGGAAGCCCCCAGCGCCACTTTCAAAAGATAATTTTATTCCCAGATGAAGTGGAAGGTATTTTTGAACTCAATGTGTCAAATTCACTCAGTCACAACTGTCACTGTGCCTGTTCCCTTGAGGGAAGGAATTCTGAAGCCACTTGCTTGTGACCAGGGGAAATAAAACTGTCATTTCTGATCTCATTGTTACATCATCTCTAAATTCTTACTGTTCTGAGCAGGAGTAAGGTGATGAGAATTGAGAAGGACATAAGCTCCTGACTCTGGAGCTGTCTCAGGCAGGATTGCTGGAATTTACTCTGAAAGCTCCCCAAGGGGGTCACCCAATAACACACTTCTATTTGATTCAGCCACAAAACACATCTGGAACTCCAGTGTTGGTCATGAGACAGCAAAGACAAGGGTGGACATTTGGGTTCACGTGAGTTCAAGCATAACCCTTAATCTAGTGGAGTATCTTTCTCTTCATACTTGTTATGTAATTGGTCTCAGTGCCACCACTGGGATCCTCTAAACCCACCCTATTTCCAGGGCAAGAGCTGTCCATCCAGAACCCTAGAAGAGTGATTTTTTACCTCGTGGTAGTTTTTGTTACCTCAAAAGGATGAGCAAACAGATACATTGTTTCCCTCTTGATTCTTTTTACTAGGCATTTGACTTTGGGAATCAGGATTCCTTAATACTAAATAATAGCACTGCCGGTGGAATTATCAATCTGCTTCCTTCCTACAGTTAGATGTTAATTTGAATCTGTCTTTTCCTAAGCCAATGTAAACTGTAAGCATCCATTCTGGTTCTTTTACTTGGTTAAGAGTTACTATATAATCTAATATCACAAGCTTGGAATACCAGTTATTTAAATCCAATTTCTAGCTAATATTAAGGTTTTCAAACTATAAACCTCTCATTTCCAGACAAATTAAAGGTTTTCTCTTAGCAGCTGCCGAGGACATGAGAAGGGCTCGTTATTACTCAAGTCAATGAACTAGAGAATTTGAGGTCTGATCCTCCAGGATACGGTGGTGCCTATCTCCCGAAGGCATTGCCTCAGCAGTAGGTACTGCTGTACTGCTGTATGGTGCTATTAATCAAACACGTAAAATTAGAGGTGCCGTGCAAATGTGGGAAATATGAGGAGACGCGGCATGCTTAGAGGGGCCCAAAGTGCCAGACATCTGCTGGCCTAATCAACGTTTCCTAGAACAGCCGTGTACAAGCTCTGTTATTATGCACAGCTAATATTTTAAATGTCCTTTTAAGTAGGCTCAAAACAGAGAAGGCCATTATTAATATTTTTAGCAGCGTTATAACTGAAGTTGACTTTCATTTGTTATGTGACACTGGGTCGAGGACATTTAACTAACCCTGGTTGTAGAAGGCAGGACATACTATGATTATTAAAAACACAAGCTTTGGAAATGGTCATCCTTGAGTTCAAATTCCAGATCCAGTACTTGCTGGCTGCTTGACCTTAGGAAAGTTATTTTACCTCTTTGATGCTCAATTTTTTAATCTTTAAATTGGGGATAAGAAGACTTACCTTTTATGGAGTCAATATGAATATAAAGCTCTCAGTGCAGTATCTGGTGCATTTCAGTTATTCAATAAATGAATAACCCAAAGGATATGGGCTTCCCTGGTGGCGCAGTGGTTGAGCGTCCACCTGCCAATGCAGGGGACGCGGGTTCATGCCCCAGTCCGCGAAGATCCCACATGCCGTGGAGCGGCTGGGCCCGTGAGCCATGGCCGCTGAGCCTGCGCGTCCGGAGCCTGTGCTCCGCGACAGAAGAGGCCACAACAGTGAGAGGCCCGCGTACCGCAAAAAAAAATAATAATAATACCCAAAGGATAAAGGAATGGTATGGCTAAATGAATAAACAAATGATTGAATGAATTATTTAAAATATACTCACTCTGGTTATAGAAATGCCATATTATTGATAACTGGGCACCACATCATGCATCTGGCTCATATTTAAAAGCCTGTTTGTTTCCCATGGGTTATCCAGACCAAAAGAGATTTTCTGGGACATAGAAAGCCTGCCCTCAAGCACATAAATCCACTCCCTGGGACTTCTTCCTCTATGTTGGGACCACTGATTTCAGAGGTGAAACCCTAATTAATTCCCTCTTCTTTTAGCTTAACAAGGTTGCAGAGCGGTCAGAGGTTTGGGTTGGCCACCAGGTCACTCCATAGCTCTAAGTTCCTCTGAGAAAGTATCCCAGAGCATATGGAATCTCTTACCTTCTTCTGGGACATACTCCGTGTCTGGCTCCTTCTTGCTCAGAAGCAGGAAGTGGGCTCTCATCAGCACACACAAGGGATGCAGCTGCTCCCTTCTTCCCCCTTCCCCTACCCCATTCCTGGGGCTGACAAGGCCACACACGCACACACACACACACACACACACACACACACACACACACACACACACACAGCAAGTGCAGCAGTGCTTCCTGAAGCTCCAAGGACAGTGTGCTCAGAGGACAGACACACCACAACTTCTCTCTGGTCCTGTTGTTGCCCATCAGAGGGAAACAGGCCATCTCTCCCACCCTGAGAGCCAACATGTGGGTTCTAGAAAGACTTGTCACTTAAATGTTGTGCAACCTTAAATAAATCACTTAGCCTTTCTGAGCCTTCGTTTCCACACCTGTAAAATGAAGGGGAAGTTGATCCCTGAAGCCCCTTCCGGAGCCCCCTCTGGGAATATCCATCCTTCATTTGGCAATTATTTATGCATGACCTTATGATATCTCTCGTACTGAGATTTAGACCAAGCATTTGTATTAGTTTTCCCTGTGTACATGTGTCTTATCTCCCTGGCTAAACCATAAGGTGACTGGAAACATGGAGCGCTTTTCAGGCTCCTGTGTATCTCCCATGCTACCTAGCAGAGAGCCTGATCCACAGCAGATGCTCAGAGAATGCTTGTTGATTATATCCAGACAGGTTTTGTGTTTCCCTGATTACAACCAATAGCCTGAAATGCAAAAACACATGCTGCTTTCTTGGTCCTCAAAACTTGCCCATGGATACAGACCTTGATGAAAGATACAGTCTTGATTAAAAGGAGGAATGTCCTGTTTGGTGGTGGGGAGGGGGTTGAGGGACTATGGACAGGACTGGGGGCATCTTTCCTCCGATCCCAGTCAGGTGCCCAGCAATATTTTCCTGTGTTCAAAGTGGAGGATGAAGCCAGCTGTATTACCTATCCAATCACTCCCCTCCCATGTGGCTTAAAACTGAAAGAGGAAACCTACCGTCTGTCTGTCCAATAGAATTTACGGCCAACCCAGTCTACAGCAAGACCTTCTGGCACACCTACTTCTTCCTCAATAAGCCTTTCTCGCTGGGAACCATCCATATTTGCTCTCTCTATCCACTTTAGGGCTGTATGGGCAAAGTATATCTACAAAAGAGAACACAGGCATTTCAGTTTGATTTGTTTAAAAACTTAATGTGGAATATATACAAATGAGGTTAGTAAATCTTTACATTATACAGTACAATAGTTAAGAGCTGGGCTTGGGAGATAGACACACCTGGAACTGAACTCCACCTCGGTTGCTTCCCAGATATGTGTAAACTTAAGCAAGTTTATCAGTGTCTCAGAGGCTCAGTTTCCTCATTGGTAAAATGGGGATAATACTATGAAGCGCATTAGTTTTATATATATAAGTTCTTAGCCTTGTGCCTGACACATATTTCTACTGGTATGGGTAATTTGCTTATCTTTGATCATTGGTCAATAACAAATCCATCATACTTGAACTCTAATGGCTTCTACAGCCTGAAAGGGAACAGAGATGAGCAGTTTAATGGGGGCTGCAAGCTGAGCTTTAACTTCTACTGCTTGATCCACAGGATTCCACTTCGCTGCAAGTCAGGAGACACAGCTTCCTCTCCCAGTTTTGACACTTATTTGTTTGATTGCCTTGGTTAAATCATTTTATTTATTTATTTATTTATTTATTTATTTATTTTAAAATTGAAGTGTAGTTGATGTACAATATTATATGTTATAGGTATATAACATAGTGATTCACAATTTTTAAAGTTTATGTTCCATTTATAGTTATTATAAAATACTGGCTATATTCCCTGTGTTGTACAATATATCCTTGTAGCTTATTTTTTCCATAATAGTTTGTACCTCTTAATCCCCTCTGCCTATATTGCCCCTCCCCACTTCCTTCTCCCCACTGGTAACCACTAGTTTGTTCTCTATATCTGTGAGTCTGCTTCTTTCTTTTTATATTCACTAGTTTGTTGTATTTTTTGGATTACACATATAAGTGATAACATACAGTATTTGTCTTCTTCTGTCTGGCTTATTTCACTGAGTATAATACCCTCCAAGTCCATCCCTGTTGCTTCAAATGGCAAAATTTCACTCTTTTTTATGGCTGGGTAATATTCCATTGTGTGTATATGTGTGTGTGTGTGTGTGTGTGTGTGTGTAAGTACCACATCTTCTTTATCCATTCATCTGCTGATGGATACTTAGGTTGCTTCCGTATCTTGGAAATTGTAGATAATTCTGCTATGAACATTGGGGTGCATGTATCTTTTGGAATTAGTGTTTTTATTTTTTTCTGATATATACTCAGGAGTGGAACTGCTAGGTTATATTGCTGGGTTTATTTTTAGTTTATTGAGAACCCTCCATACTGTTTTCCACAGCGGCTGCACCAATTTACATTCCCAATAACAGTGTACATGGTTAAGTCATTTAATCTCAATTTTCTCAGCTATAAAAATGACAAAGTCAGACTGGGTATTTGCTAAAGTTCCTTTCATCTCTAACTGTAGAAAATTTCATTTTAATTAATAGATTTTTTAATTAATAGAATAATTTTTTAATTAATAGAACATACCTTGAAGATGCAAAGTTCTTTTTCAGTCTAGTATGCAGACTTTCGAACAGGTACAAGAATAAAAAATTGCTATGGGTTAGCTGACAATTTAATGATAGCATATGTGGAATATTAACTGTGAGTGCATATATGTACATAAACCCATCATCAATAATGAGAATAATAGAAAAGGTTCTATTCCATGATACAAAAATGGGCACTTCTTATGTTAAAAAATACTCTGCTAGTGCTCTGCTTCTCAAACTCAAATGTGTACATGAATCACCTGGGAATCTCGTTAAAATGCAGATTCTGATTCAGTGGTCACAGTGGAGCCTGAGAATCTGCAGTTCTAACACGCTCCAGGTCACGTTGATGTCACTGGTCTAAGGACCACAGTTTGAGAAGCAAGAAAATGAGAACATTGACAAGAGAAATGAAAAACCATGAATAAGCCACACGACTTAAAGTTCATTTTAGGTTTCCTTATTCACCTAGTTGTAAAAAATACTGACTGTGTGGGAAAAAACTAATTTGGTAATAAATGAATCTTGAACTGATTCTCTTCATTTTTTCCTGTTAATATAATTCTTCTATGGAGTCAAATAGATTCAGTTCATAGAAAAAAAAAGAATTGTTTGCTAGTATTTAATTACAAAACTTCTATTTGCAAAAGTAGTTATATTTGGCTATCAATCCATACCAATTAAACACAGAATCAATTTGCTCCACTCTGTCTCTTTTGGCCATTTACCAGAATGCTTCAAATCAGGAAGGAAGGAACAAAAGCACAAGTTTTAAAATTCTAGGAATTAATGCACCATCTAGTAACAACTAAATCATTATGGAGGGAGATTAATAACTATGGAACTTCATAATTATTGGCTGATTAATCTCCAGAAGTTACTGTAACATATCATTTCAAGCACTTTCTAACCTAGCATAAAGATAACAAGAAATTAAAGACCAAATGGTCAGCTGATTGGGTTGATAATTTAGAAATTCTAATGTTTATACAAAAAAAACTTCATGTAAAATTATTATATAAATAATGTTGTGTCAGACTGCCATTCACACATGAGCTGTAAAACTTATGTTTCTTGGTTTTCATGGTTAGGAGTTCACTGAATTTCCTCCCTTAAGGACATGTATTAAATGCAAATTAGTAATCCATACTTCCTATGCTGCACCTCAACCTCCTATTTCTCCCAAAATACAAATAAATAAAAACCTATTTATGGTGCTCTTCCTGTGTGTATGGCACTGTGCTAGCTTCCTATTCTCATTTCCAAAGAGGAAACTAAACTTCAGATTCTATTCAAATTATCCCCAATAAAATGGCTGAATCACAGCAAGGAATAGGGTAGGGTTATGATAACAGAAACATCCTTAAAACTTTCTCAAGTGATGTTTTAATATCTACATTTAAATTTTTCTTTGCCTAATTGTTCTGAGCTTAGCAGAGGATTTTCAAGTAACCCAGGTCATCTGTTAGGATAAAATCCTTTACTCTGTCCTTAAAGCACAGCCACATCTGTTCAAGCAGCAAAACCATACCTTATTTTCCACAGGGTCATGATCTAGGGCAAAAACCATTCCTATTTGCTGGCTGAGCAGGGTTCCATAATCTGTTCCATCAAAATGCATGTGTCGAATATCTTGAGAATTGGCAAACAGCAAAAACGGTGGTGGTCCTAATAACCAAATTTAAATATGGTTGCATTTGAAATATGCCTTGGAACCCAAAAGGCACTTCTGACCCTTCCCGTTCATTGTACCCTCTCCCTCAATTCCTGCAGTACTCGTTTCTTAATTTCCCACCAGTACGGTGTAGGTTAAGAGAGGCAAGAAGACTTCCTTTTCCATGAGGTGACATACGGCCAGAATTTCATCACTGGTTTCCTCCCTGTCTAGGTGCCTGCTTTTAAAATGCAAGTTACTTATAGAAAGAGACAGTATTAAGTAACAAACATCTTAACTAAATGATGTAAGTCTGATGCTGTGTAATCTCCTTGATTCACACATATTGAAACATTAATATTAGCAGACTGTATTAATTCATGTCCAAAAAATACCCTTCTCTGGTCTGGACAGTTGATGATTGAGGTCTGATTATGTGAGTTAATAACTAGACCCCTGATAATTTTCAGAGCTCAGATTATGCTATATTAACTAAGGCCCTGAGAAGTTAAGAGTACTGGGGTCTAAGGCAAGCTCTGTAGGCCCATCATTATGTTATCCCAAATCACAGGCATAATGAACCTCAGGTGAGATTAAATCAATTTGGCATAAATCTAGGATTTCCAAGGCTGCTGAAGGACATGAGATGTAATATCAGAAGAGATGAAAAAATAGTTGAAGCACACAACTTCATATTAAATTTTGTCATGAAAAGGACAGAACTTGTCAAAGTATTATGATTATTACATTCACCAGAGAGATAAAAATCAAACCAATCAACAAATATTTATTAAATGCCCCTTAACTATAAAGTGCTTTAAGACTATTCTGGTTATGACTTTCACATATACTGGAATGCCATACCTGATGTTATAGCAAATCGTTGCTTAACGCTAATTAACTTCAAAATGTTCCTCAAACACAGAATTATTATTTCTATAATATTAATTTATGTTATTTACATTTATAATGTGATTTGTTTTCCATTTCCAAAAATTAAAAAAATCAGACTTTCTATGCAGAAGCCAAAAGCAATTTAACACTTTTTAAATAAAATGTTGTTCTTCACATAATCTTTTTTGCAGAGACACACTTTCAAATGTTCACAGCACTAACCTGAGGCTGTACAGCTCTTTTTGTCCAGTTGTAGGTCATAGCCCGGAATGCAGCCACATTCCCAGGATACTGGGCTAAGAGGGATGCAGAGCTGGCTACATCCACCATTATCGGGAGATGAACAACCTACAAAAAACAATTCCTTGGTAATGATGCTAGGGTATTAAAAAAATATCATGTTTTCATCAAAATATTAAGGTGAACCAAATATACGTTGCTTTTTAAAACCATTTCCACAATCATTCATACTGTCACAATCAAGCTTATTTTTCAGAGATTAGGAGGAAAATGTCACCATACTCTACTTTCCTATAACCTGACATCTTCAGTGTTAATCCTTCACATCCCAATGACCCTTGTCTTCTTGTTCTATCACTGAATTTGTGAACAAGCACACTGGCAGCTGGCTGGAATAAAAAAATGCATTTTGATGAGTTTGGCAGCTGGTCTAATTCTTCCTAGTGATGAATATATTTTTTTCTCTCTCACATTTTTGGTCTCTTGACTTCTTTTGCTCTTTTTATTTAAAAAAATGTCACACATAACTCTTTGTTAATTTTGAGTTATAGCCTTCACTCTATATGCTTAAGTCCCTATGAAGATAAAAGTAGGGAGGTATTCATAGGTGCAAGGAACAGGCTAAGCGCTCCACATCCACCATCTTGTTTAATGCTGGTCACAAATCCAGGAGGCAGGTATCATTAACCTCTACAGATGAGGAAACTGAGACCAAAAGAGGGCAAGTAACTAGTCCAAAACAGCTCTGCTAGTAACTGGTAATGCTATCTCAGGGCTGCCTAGCTTCAGAGCTCTTGCTCATAACCACTACACTATGCTATCGAAAAACAAAACACAAAAATCTTATTTAAGTTCATATGTTAATCCATTATGTAAATATCTTTCAATGTGTAATGTTGGAAAATCTATTCTCCTTTGTCAGTAGATGGACTTTTAGGTGTCAGTTAGAAAACGAATGTTTTCTTTTTTTTTTTTTAACATCTTTATTGGGGTATAATTGCTTTACAATGGTGTGTTAGTTTCTGCTGTATAACAAAGTGAATCAGTTATACATATACATATGTTCTCATATCTCTTCCCTCTTGCGTCTCCCTCCCTCCCACCCTCCCCATCCCACCCCTCCAGGCGGTCACAAAGCACCGAGCTGATCTCCCTGTGCTATGCGGCTGCTTCCCACTAGCTATCTACCTTATGTTTGGCAGTGTATATATGTCCATTCCTCTCTCTCGCTTTGTCACAGCTCACCCTTCCCCCTCCCCATATCCTCAAGTCCGTTCTCTAGTAGGTCTGTGTCTTACCCCTAGGTTCTTCACGACACTTTTTTTCCTTAAATTCCATATATATATGTGTTAGTATACGGTATTTGTCTTTCTCTTTCTGACTTACTTCACTCTGTATGACAGACTCTAGGTCTATCCACCTCATTACAAATAGCTCAATTTCGTTTCTTTTTATGGCTGAGTAATATTCCATTGTATATATGTGCCACAACTTCTTTATCCATTCATCCGATGATGGGCACTTAGGTTGTTTCCATCTCCGGGCTATTGTAAATAGAGCTGCAATGAACATTTTGGTACTCAAACAAACAATAGGTAGATAAACTTACCACTACAGGTTTTCCCATCTGTCTCAAGCACTGAGCCTTCAGGACAGAAACATATGGGACCGTCTGATGTCAGAACACAATCATGACTGCATTCAGACACATTGCTTGGGCAGGAAATTAATTCTAATTAATGAAAAATAAGGTCAAGATTAGTGTTAAATCAGATTTGTGGAAATTTGGTAAATTCAGCTGCTAACAAAAAAAATGATATCCTGAAAAGAAGAAGTTAAATAAAGATTGAACATTTATGAATTGCTGTGGTAATAGAGATATAAAAATAAAGAAAAAGTTGCAAATCTAAAACAAATTAAAGAAGGACTTCTAATTTTGGAAAATGACTCTAGTTTCCTCAAAGTTTCTTCTCTGACAATTAATACTTTTTAAGTTATTAGTCATCAAAATTCCAAAATATTTTAAATGGAACTTGGGCAAATGATTCTCAAGTTCATCTGGAAAACAAATTACATGTGTAAGAAAACTAAAAACATTGTGTAACTATGGTTAGCTGTAAGAAGAGAATGAGAGGCTCTAAACAAATATCAAAATGTATCACAAAGATGCAATAATTAATGAGTACAGGAATAGACCAAGAGGATAATATCAATAGAACCAGACAGAAAGTTCATTTTATTTTTTTGCAATTTGTAAAATTTATTTTCTCACAATTTCAAATGAAATTAACAGTTTTGCACTTAACTAACAAATTTACTTATCTACCAAACAGTTTTTCAATGGTTTGGTTTGTCAGGAACTTTGTAGATATCTGGTGACTCATTTGCTTATGATTCTGGACAGCTATAGATAGAATTCAGATTGCCCCAGTCTAAATGTCAAGGTTTATATCAAGCACAACGTTTTACAGTTTCTTTAACTTTTTAAATTAAGATATTATTTTCAAAGAACAAGGCTCCAGTTTACATCATTACCTTAAAAAAATGAAGATTTATTTTAATGGAAGATAGTTATTGTGAAAGCATTTTTTTTACTTGAAAATTATTTTATGTAAACTTACGTGGATTGTTTTTGCGTCAAAATATTCCCTGATAGTATTAGAGCAGGTATTATTATAAGTTTTTCAGAATATACCTTATAAATGAAATACAGTTATAGGAAAGATTGGAAAGCTCATTTTAGAAAAGACTCAAGTACACATAAGAATATAGTATGTGATAAAGGTATTTTAAATCATTGAGCATGTGTCATCCAGTAAATGGTAGAGAAATAAATGAGTAATGTTTTGAGGCAAAAGCTAAATCCCTACCATATACCACACATCAAAATAAATTCCAAGTAAATCAAATATTAAAATGTAAAATATATACCATAGAAGTTCTAGCAGTTTTGACAATCAAGTGAGATTATGTATGTCCTACTTGGCACATAATGGACTCTAACATATTAACATCATGCACTTGAGTATATCTGCTCACAGATAAACCACATGGTATTAAAAGAAGGACAAATTCCATAAACAGTCACAAAGGTAGTGGGTAATTTCCAAGAACTTCATTACCATCCATCCATTTTTCTGTGCCTTGTTTCACAAGCTCATATAACATCCAGACTAACATATTCTCCAACATCTGTGAAGCAGAACTAGACAATATACATGAGATTTTTTTTTTTTTTTTTTTTTTTTTTTTTTTGGCTGCACTGCATGGCTTGTGGAATCTTAGTTCACTGACAAGGGATTGAAACCTGGCCCCTGGCAGTGAGAGCGCCAAGTCCTAACCACTAGACTGCCAAGGAATTCCCACATGATTTTAAACATTCGTTTCTACTTAGCTATGTTGGTAGATTCAATAAGAAACCTATAAGAAGGTATCTGAGTATGTAATCCTAAATTTGAATTGAGAATATTCATATAAACTCATAATGTATTTCTCTTTTTAAAAAGTGTTTTCCTAACTCTGGTGCCCTAAAACACTCAAAACAATAACTGACTTTGAAGCAGGTTATGTTTTCTAAATACAATTTCTCATAAAAAGGAAGCAGTGGCCTTGAGAGATTGCTGATTCTAGGTCTAGAACATGGAATGTACAAGACAAGCCTGGAAAATATGTCCTACCAGGTTAAGAGAAAACTATCAAAGACTACTGGGGTCTGGAACCCATTTGAAGATTCTCCCACCAGCCAAAGAGGAGACAACTTGCTCATTGGTAAGAATAACAACTGCACTGGGTTGAAACATATAAAAAATGTTAAAAATCCAAGAGTTCATAATAATACTTACAAAAAACAAAAAACAAATCTCCCAAAGTCATTGAAGTCACCATCACGCTGATGCCAAAACCAGACAGAGAAATTACAGGCCAATATCTTTGATGAATTACAGGCCAATATCTTTAATGAATATAGATGCAAAATGCTCAAGAAAATATTAGCAAACCAGATCCAAAAGCACATAGAAAGGATCATACATCATGATCACGTTGGATTCATTCCAGGGTCACAAGGATGGTTCAACATATGCAAATCAATCGATATGATACACCACATCAACAAAAGAAAGGACAAAAACTACATGATCATCTCGATAGATGCAGAGAAAGCATTTGAGAAAATTCAACATCCATTTATGATCAAAACTCTTTCCAAAGTGGGTACAGAAGGAATATATCTCAATATAATAAAAGCCATTTACGACAAACCCACAGCCAATATAATACTCAATGGTGAAAAGCTGAAAGCCTTCCCATTAAAATCTGGAACAAGACAAGGATGCCTACCTTTCACCACTTCTATTTGACATAATATGGAATTAACAGATGCACACTACCATATATAAAGTAAACAACAAGCACAGAGAGTTATATTCAATATCTCAATACCCAACAAACTACAATGGAAAAGAATTTTTAAAAAAGAATATAGATATATACATATACATGTGTATAACTGAATCACTTTGCTGTACACTTGAAACTAATGTGATATTACAAATCAACTATACTTCAATAAAAACTAAAATTAAAAAACCCCATTGGCCACCTTTGGAAGGTGTTAAAGAACCAACCCATTATCCTAAATATAAGTAAACAAAGAGAAAAAAATTCATCATTTATACTGCCTTAACTGTAAGAATTGTATCTTGAAGTCACCAAATAGTTACTGAGAGAACATTCTTTTTATAAAGGTATTACAATTCATGATTAAAAAGAAATATTAGAACTAGATATCATCATGCAAATCCCCTGATGAAATAATGAATCTAGGAAATGAGTGTTAATGGCCACTACAACCATTCCCTGAAAGATGACTGGGCTCTTTCTTGCTCCCAGCAGTCTTGGCAGCTGCTCTTGGATGGGGGCAGTCCCACCCTAAGGCAGAAAAATGGCGGCCGAAAAGAAGACAAAAAAGTTGCTGGGCCTGATGAACGCTACGCTCCAACTCATTATAGAAAGTAGAAAGTAAGTGCTGCAGGTACAAGCAGATTCTGGAAATGTTCAGACAAGGCAAAGAGAAACTGGTCATCCTCACCAACAAATGCCCAGCCTTGTGGAAATCTGAAATAGAGTACTACACCATGTTGGCCCAAACTGGTGGCCACCACTACAGTGGTAATAATATTGAATTGGGCACAGCATGTGGAAAATACTAGAGTATGTATGTCACTGGCAAAGCCCACTAGGGTCCTCGGGAAAAATAAGATGGAATCTAGGTGATAAGATAAGGTCTAGGGCTTTCCTGGTGGCGCAGTGGTTGAGAGTCTGCCTGCCAATGCAGGGGACGAGGGTTCGTGCCCCGGTCCGGGAAGATCCCACATGCCGCGGAGCGGCTGGGCCCGTGAGCCATGGCCGCTGGGCCTGCGCGTCCGGAGCCTGTGCTCCGCAACGGGAGAGACCATGGCAGTGAGAGGCCCGCGTACAGCAAAAAATAAAAAATAAAAAAATAAAAATAAAAATAAGGTCTAACCTCTTCTTTGGACTTAGTCTCGTTTCAGTTGCATGTAGGGGGCCGTGTGCAGAGGCCTTGCGCCCAACACATGGGATCAGAGTTCCCAGCGCAGAACTGCTGCACCTGTTACTGCAGCTCGATGGGCCGTATGCAGAAGCACTGTGCTCGACACCTCGATTCAACACGGCAGCGACAGCCGTGTGCAGAGACCCTGCACCCAGCACTGCGATCTGGAGCCTGAGCAGCGCGCTTGTGTGTGCCCAATGGGAACTCCGCCCCCTCCCAGCTGTGGAGAACCCTATAAAGCAGCCCTGCCCACGGCCTGTCAGGGGAGCGGGTACTATGGAGGTGAGCTCACATCTCTCCAATCTCTGGTCCAGTAATAAAGCTTTCCTTTGCTTCTGAACCAAACTCGGTCTTGTCCTATGGGCACTAGCGATGCCGGGCAGGAGGACCCTTGTGAGGACTGACTGGAAAGGGTCAGTAACATGCACACTGGCTATTATTGACTCAGGTGATTCTGACAGCATTAGAAGAATGCCAGAATGGACTGGTGAAAAGTAAATCGTGCATATTTTTTCTTCAGTGAAACTGTCCAGAGTTTGTTTTGTGAAAAAAGAAAAAGAAAGACCATTGGGGAACTTTAGAACGGATGACAGAGGGAGAAACAACCAGATGTTATGTGTCTCCTGATGGAAGTATAAGCATACCAATGAAGAGTATTATTGTCAAAATTTCAAAGCCTAGTCTGATCAAGCCTGCAGATCTAACCGCAAGTTTGAGAAGGACAGGGACATCTTACAAGTGTGCTCAGTAAAATCCAGAGTGTGAGAAACTCTGCAGGAAAAAAACAGTTTCTTCAGCAACTACTTGCAAGGGGGAATAAAGAGGAGAGGGAATCTGTAGGATAAGAGAGAGAGGTATCAGCTAATATCAGTGTAACACACGGAGCTTGTTTGGATACCCAGTCAAACAAATCAACTGTTGAAAACTTTTTAAGATAATTTGAAAACTGACTAGATATTTAATGTTATTAGGGAATTATTGTTAATTTTTTTAGTTGTGATAATGGTATCGTGGTTATACCTGAAAACTGACTGCGTATTAGATATTAGGGAATTCGAGCTAGTTTTTTAGATGTAATAGTGTATCATGATTATGTTTTTTACATGCTTACCTTTCAGAGATATATAATGAAATATAATGAAATATGGATAAATAAACAGTAAAATATATAAATACATGCTTGTTGGAGGTTTTGATTTAACAGGTCTGGGATAGAGTCTGGTCATTCGCATTTTAAAAAACAAACCAAAATAAAACTCCAAGGTACTCCTGATGCATGCTATTGATCGAGGACCACCAACCCAGATCATAGCCACCTTAGAAACATCAGTGAAAATGGAGGAAATAATGCAATAAATACTTGTTGTGACTTACGGTGACACCGTTTCCCATCAGGAAGCAGAACAAATCCTACAGGGCATGTGCAATAATAGGATCCAGGGATGTTTTCACACCCAAGAGTACAGCCATGATTCCAAAAGGCACACTCGTTGACATCTACACCATAACAACAGTAAAACAGTCAGATGGTTTTTTTGAAAATAAATTGTAGTATCACTAATAAGTCAGCTAAAAGTAGGGTATCTCACACCTCTATCTGCTGTAACTGACCATGGCAAGACTGTTTTTGCTACTCTAACAAAGAGTGAAAGAAATTAGTTCAATTATCATGAAAGCCATGGTTTAAACTGTCACAGTTTATACTTTCAAATACAGATTTTCATATTAAAATTACTCTTGGGATAAAGCAGTACTATTTCCCCTGAAAAGATATATCCATTTAAGGCAAGGACCCTAGAAAGTTCTTGACAAGGGCAGGACATCCCCCTGCTTTGCTCTTCACTTTCTCAAGGCTGACAGGAGCCCTTCACCTGAATGTGGGAGCATTCCCTAGCAGTTTTACTCTGGCTGAAACCCAGACTTCCAGATCACTGTTCTATGCTATGGCTCTCGCCCACTAGTCCCACGTAAGCAGGGGACTGCAGTTAATAGGCAGATGCCAGGTTTACCTGGAGTCTCACCCCAACTAATTCCACTGAATGTACGTTGCAGCCATTGGATTCTTTTCATCGGTAACTCACTGGACGTCCCAGGAGAAAGGACATGGCATTTCTCCTCGGGTTAATTACATCGGGCCTGGAGTCTCACAATAGGACGAGCCCAAGATAACCAAACAAGGTGCAGTTTCTCAAGATTCCTACCAAACAGTTATGGGATGAGATGTGGGAGTCAATACCCTTTGAGGATCTTATGAGAGCTACGGAACTACTCCCCTAAAAAATCTGACAATACTGACATTTTGCACACCGTCAAACCCACAGAGCTCCGTAGAGTCCACTCAGAGAATCCCTGCCTTATATCAATCCCTGAGTAGCCTCTGAAAGTATCTGATCTGGGAACACAAGATATAAAGGAGATCTGAAAGTGTTACAAGGGCTTAAAATTGGGAAAAAATAAAATTGCTTTTCTGGGGGGAAAAAGGAAACTTGAAATTGGTTTCACATGGAGGTTCTGGATTGCGCACTGAAGACCAGCCACTGGCCCAGGTGGGCTGTGCTCGCTCACCACACATTACCTTCACAGTTCTCTCCATCTTGGCTTAAAGCATATCCCTCTGCACACGTGCACACATGGGACTTAGGCTCTTGCCCACACATGCTGTTTCTGCAGTTACCTTTCCTCAGTTTGCAGAGTTTCTGATCTAAAAGAGAAGGTGGTTAATTTGGAGTGGAGGTGTGTTTTGACAGGGGCAGTGCATGATCCCCTCATGGCTCCTAAGAACTCTAATCTTCCCGTGACATCAGCAGGGGTGTTGTCTCACGGAGGTGGCACTGCTCTAGGGTCGAACATTAGCCCAGATTACTCAGCATTCCGAAGCCCATTTATTTCTCTAGTTGTATCTCTCCTACAGTAGCTCTCGGGATAGGACATACTAATTACCTGGAGATGTCATTCCTTGGGTTACGAACACTAAGCACAACTTAATAGCCTTTTCTTTTTGACCTGCTTTTATCAAAAGTATTTATTTATTTAAAAAATAAATACGGCAATAAACAGAAATGCTGAAAATGAAATATCTGTTTAAGAAGCAAAAAAGGCTGAAAAATGAAGAACATCTCTTAAGTATAATATTTATAGGTCAGATCTATATATTTATCTGTTTTTTTTTTTTTTTTTTTTTTTTTTCTTTTTTTTTTTTGCGGTACGGGGGCCTCTCAGTGTTGTGGCCTCTCCCATTGCGGAGCACAGGCTCCGACGCACAGGCTCAGCGGCCATGGCTCACTGTTGTGGCCTCTCCTCTTGCGGAGCCTGTGCTCCAGACGCGCAGGCTCAGCAGCCATGGCTCACGGGCCCAGCCACTCCACGACATGTGGGATCCTCCCGGACCGGGGCACGAACCCGTGTCCCCTGCATCGGCAGGCGGACTCCCAACCACCGCGCCACCAGGGAAGCCCTATCTGTTTTTAGGATCATTATGTAAACAACAACTTCTTTCAGACAGTATATACCACTGCCATATGTCTTATCCCCAAGTTTCTGAGTTTATTGCTGCCAGCATTCCATGTGTGACAAAATAGCCCAGGGCGAATAGTGAAACCTGCCCAGTAAGGTAGGTGCTTGGATTAAATTAGCCAAATACATTGAACAACAAATGGCCAACTTGGTACCTTTGGCTTTCAAAGCCAGAGTCAAGGGCTAAACTAGTAACACATATATCCCTGTTCGAATTTTGTTCCTTCTCAATTTTGCCAATTTTAATAATGACTTTGTGAAATGCTCTGGGAAATACAGAGGTAAGCTTGAATTTGAGGGCAGCTCTCAAGGTGCATGTAGTTATGGAGGCCAGAGCTCTGGCTATAGGTGACAGCGGGGAAGAGGACCGGGATCAGGCACCAGGAGACCTGGCACAGCTGAGATCAGTGAGAGCCTGTGAGTAAGGGGAGGAGCCCACCAAAAACACAGCCTGGCTGTGAAAGACACAAGAAACAAGCCAGCAAGAGCCTGAGCACAGTAGTGCACGAGGCTGAGACCGTCCCCCATGCAGGTCTGTTTCTCTGGTCTCTGTCTACTTAGAAAGGTGCCCCTCACTCTGACTCTACCCCTTTCCTTCTACTTCAAGTTGCTAAACACTTTTCTTGACCGACAAAGCATCACACATTAGAAACGTATTCTTGCCCCCTTGAAAATGTTTCTAATGTACCTTGAGACCACCTGGAGGGCATGTCACCCTCTAGAGATTCTGATTTGATACATCAAGGGAAAAGGCTCACTTTTACCGGATTCTGGAATGATTCTGACGCTGGAGTCTTTACACCACACTTTGAGAGACACTGGCCTAAAGTACTAATGGAATATCCCACTTTCACCTCAGTTACGTACGCCTCCTGTTAGCAAATCTGTGTTATTTCTTCAGTTATTTTAAACTTGTTTATTCAGATCTCTTGATAGAATTACATGCACAATTATTTAATACTGTTGCAATATTATCAACTAAGTCAGTTAAGATTTACACTGAATAGTTTTTCTATAATTAAAAAATATATTTTTAAATTTATTTATTTTTGGCTGCATTGGGTCTTCGTTGCTGTGCGCGGGCTCTCTCTAGTTGCGGTGAGCAGGGGTTACTCTTCCCCGCGGCGCGCAGGCCCCTCACTGCGGCGGTCCCTCCTGTTGCAGAGCACGGGTTCTAGGGGCACAGCTTCAGTAGTTGTGTCTCGTGGGCTCTTTAGCGCAGGCTCAGTAGTTGTGGCGCACTGGCCTAGCTGCTCCTTGGCATGTGGGATCTTCCCGGACCAGGGAACGAACCCGTATCCCCTGCATTGGCAGGAAGATTCCTATCCGCTCTGCCACCAGGGAAGCCCTACACTGAATAGTTTTTGGATATTGATTCCAAAAATTTTGTTTCTTGTCCACGGTTTTTATGCCAATTATGCATGTTTAGTAACATTGTTTTTCATGTTCCTACATGCTTCACATATCAAAATTTTAATTAAGAAAATTAAAAACAAAATGACCCCAATTTTTAAAGTAAATGACTAAACTCAGAAACTCACAAATGTACTGGAGACAAAATGTACCTAATTCAAATTTCTAAAAAAGAGCATGTGATTGCTTTAACTGTATTTTTTATAACATTTACAAATGAACAACAACAAAAATCCAGAAAGGCCTGATTAATAGCACCTTTTAATAGCCTTTTAATAGCACCAAAGTGCTACTACTTTCTTGAGGTAACCAAAAATTGAGATTATGCTTCCTGTAAATATCTCCTATAAAAATCTTTCCAGGGCTTCCCTGGTGGCACAGTGGTTGAGAGTCCGCCTGCCGATGCAGGGGACATGGGTTCATGCCCAGGTCTGGGAAGATCCCACATGCTGCGGAGCGGCTGGGCCCGTGAGCCATGGCCGCTGAACCTGCACATCCGGAGCCTGTGCTCTGCAACGGGAGAGGCCACAACAGTGAGAGGCCCGCATACCACAAAAAACAAACAAACAAACACAAAAAAAACTTTCCAAACCCAGTATGATAGACGACCACTGCATTAAGAATTGGGAAAACTGAGTTCTTTCTTTGTCCTGCCTTTTACATAAAATCCCTTTATCCCTTTGACTTCAGTTTCCATGAAATAAAAGTGTTAAAGTAGATATTCTCTGAGATCCCTCACTTAAAAAAATATTATGGTTCTATACAGAATTAAATGTTTGTTGTAAATTCCTCTAAATTTATACCTCTAAAGATTCTCAAACCTTAATACCTGCTTATGTTATGTTAATGGAGATTCAAACTGACTTATGGAGAAAACAATTAGTGTCTAGGGTACAGGAAATTGCTCTGTTCTTCATCTAGATCCAATGTTATTTATCTTTTATTTTGTACTTTTCTACAACCTCTTACCTGTTCTTCTGTGTGTTCTTATGATCAACATCATCATAATTCTATATATACATGTACATTAATCAGTAAGCTTTTGAGGATAAAGCATGCATCCCATTCACATTCATAGTCCCAATAGCAACTAACCTGGTGCCTTTTACAACACAGAGGTGCTACAAACATCTGGAATACAGGCACAAAAACCTGTGATCATGAAACCTGCAACTTAACTTCTTTATTTGGTTTCTCCTTGAATTTCCAGTCAACCTCAGAGTTAGAACTAAAATAGACGGTCAGTATTCTTTCCACTATACCATACTGATGATGGTTTTAATGATACTTATTAACAATATACATTACTATTCAATGATGAACATAGGCAGGAAAGCAATCACTATTCGTCTCTGAATGGCTGTGCTGATGACGTGACCCGAATTCAGACACTAAACACTTAAAAGGTCATTTTAGAAAGAGGCAAAACATAGAGGATTGAGGGCTGTATTTTGTTTAATCTCCTTAATCTGCTGTTCTTTAGCTTCAAATTAGGCTGAAGCTAGCACTCAGAATGCTGCTGCTGACCTCAGATAACCCCCCTCCCAGAGCCCAGCAGTGGAGCCTAATTACCTTTGAGATCAAATTAAAGCTCCTAAATCATGGAGTTTAATGTCCACCACCAACTGTGCCTTCAATAACTGCCCAACTCACAAGCTCTCATGAGCTTTGCTATAGCCAAGCAAACTATAGATTTTACCCTGGCGCACTTCTGAAACAACACACATAGGATTCCCGAGCCTGCTTCTTTCCACTGATCACACCTTTCTCTCTACCTCAAATTCAGTGTCAGACTCACCTCATCAACAAAGCCCTTCTAGTCTCTTCCATTTGAACGCATTCACTTGAGTCATTCTTTTAACTAAATATTTAGCACCCCCAATAGTTAAAAATTTGAATAACATTTTATAAAGCATTTACGTTATCACATGTAATGTTTATAACAAGCCCTTGAGCTATGCAGAGTAATTATTGTCTTCCATTTTACAGATTAGGAAATAGTATCTTAAGGATCACATATAGGTAATAAGGGGTAAGGGTCGGACTCGAGCTCAAGTCTTCGATGACAGACCTCACCTCTTTAATGTATATAATATGTGTGTTTGTGTATATGTATATACTTATGTATATATATAAAATATAATTATGGGTTTTTATAAAAATATATATATTTATATTATTAATATTATATATTAATATAGACCATTATGTACTGATACATAATAAAGTTAATATATTAACATATTAATGTTATGCTATATATTTTATGTATAATAAAATATATAAATTATATACACAATATATTTTTCTATAAATGTCTATGATTTTTGTTTTATTTATTTATTGTCTTTTTCATTAGTGAGTTCCCTGAATAAACGACTCCCGCACCTTCCCCAAAAAACTTCCCAAACTGTGTAATATAGAAGTTTATTCTTTTTTGTTAATAGAAAATAAGAAGGAAGAAATGAGAATGGTTATTCTGTGTTATTGGAATTCCTAATTATAGTTAAAAAAAAAAATCACTTAGCCAGAACTTAGCTACTTGGTATCCTTATCCATCTAAACCTAAGAATCAGAAAGTAAAGAAATAGGGACTTCCCTGGCAGTCCAGTGGTTAAGACTTCTCCTTCCAATGCAGGTTGTGTGGGTTTGATCCTGGTCAGGGAGCTAATATCCCACATGCATCAGTGGCCAAAAAACCAACACATAAAACAGAAGCAATACTGTAACAAATTCAGTAAAGATTTTTAAAAATGGACCACTTTAAAAAAATCT